TTGAGAACCAAGGTTTAATGATATATTGTACATAAAATAATAAACGGTTATTAACCTAGATTTACTATAAGGCTTTGTTTTTCCATATTTTAACTAATAAAAGTATAGAGACGAAACCTCTCATCATTCGTCATTCACGGTGCGTGTGTCGGGTCCATCGTTGTAGTGAGAGGAGCTTCAACAGTGACTGTGACTTGTGACCCAGGTGTAGGTTTAAGGGACCCTATCTAACGTTAAACGATCACCTCCACCGTCCAAGCTTCTCTCTCTATCTAACCAAATTTGAGTTACAGAAATTTGTCGTGTGTATTTAATACGCCTTTTTAGAACCTGTCTGCCTTGAAATAAAAAATAGTAGCCGAAAGCAATACTGATATTGATGGAATCAAAATCCAATTAATCCTTCAACATTGGTTAGATATAGAACCAGCATTCAGATATTGCCAATTTTTTTGACACCATTAACCTTAGTACGTGTTTGCATTACATTAAACAAGATACGTAGCGTATCCAGTTACCCATTGATGTTTTTCCAGATATAATATTAACAAATATATATACATAAAGTATGCTTTTTCATAATTTCTGCTATTATATTTTCGTTTAATCATATAATATCGTCAGTCTGTAAAAAATTTTTAGCGACGACATATATAAATATATATTTCTTCATCTCTAAAACGAGTTGGTATCAAATTTAAACTATTGAGGATACATATATGTGTATATATATATATATTTTCTTGTATATAAATTACTCGTCAAATATATTTTTGCCTATTACCTAATACTTATTCAAGTTATGACTTATTACTTTTAACCCTAACCTTCGATTTATTAATTATTATTTGTATTTGATAAATTGTACTTTCAATAAAATATTATTCATTAAAGGTGCAGTTTTTTTTATTACTACGACGGTTGAAGAATTATGTGGGGCAAGGTTGCGACAACTGAGTAGTATAGTTAAAAGTGGTAGATAATACACATATATATACAAATAAATACATATTAAAAAGAATCTTAAAGGAAAAATATTTTGATAACATTTTTATTATTACTGAAAATTTACAAAAAAAATATTGATTTATATAATATATGTATAAGTAATATTGAAATATATAAAAGATAAAACTTTTATATTTTTTTATATATTATATATGCTATATCTATTTATTTGTCATATACTACACAGCATTGTAGTAACTCACTGGGGAATTACTCACAATCACTACGAGCGTGATCTCAAATAGAGAGGATTTAATATATTAATACAAATATGAATTATATGAGTTATATAATACATATGAGTTATAACTCATCACATTCACAAGTATTTCCTAATGCTTATTTATGAAGCATAACTTAATATATTATATAAGTACGTATTTATATTGAATTATATAAATCGGTCTGCATACTTGTTACTTAATATTATTTTTAGTTAATATATTCTATAGTATATATTGAATATTTACTTTACAAATATATATTATATTCACGACCTCCTGAGATCTCTAATCCTCTTAAATCGCTGTCACTGACACCACGAAACAAAACAATAAAACAAAGTCACACCTCTCATATAGCGAGTCGTTTAATGAAACATCATTTCTTGCTAAAAGATATTTTAAATATTTCAAAACGGTTAAGCTTTTAAACTTAGAAATATCCAGAATATAATACACGACATATAAATCTATTATAACCGTAACCGAAGTTTCTACGGTTACAATAAGATTTGAAACGCCAAAAGTAATGTTTATATTTAACTAGCTTTCCGCCCGCAGCTTCGCCCGCGTGGAGTTCGGTTATATCGCGTTTCCAAGAGAACTTCCAAAAGTCTGGGATAAAAACTATCCTATGTACTTCCTCAAGGTACATTCCTACTCGATCTTTGTACCAAATTTCATTAAAATCAGTTTAGTGGTTTAGGCGTGAAAGCGTAACAGACAGACAGAGTTACTTTCGTATTAATAATATTAGTAGGGATTATTACAGAGTAAACAAATTCTGACTCGTATAGTACAACGTCAGTTTTAATCACTGAAGGACTACATAATTAAGATGATTGAATAATTAAGTGATTGATAATCCAATTAAGGATTAAAGTAATTAAATGGCGTAGTAATCCGAATATTAATTCATCTAAAAGAATACTCACGAATGTCTTAAATCTCATTAGATCTAGAAAAGAAAAATTAATTAGTAAAAAAAACAACTGCTTCTTATGGAAGAATACTTAAGGTAAAAGAAATTGAAGTATAACATGCAAGTATTTAATATTATTTTACTCAATAGTACAATTACAAGTGTATAATATTGGTATATATTGTATATTGGTATTGAAAATTTATTATTTTAAATTTAAAATTGAATATATTCTCCAAGCTCCTCTTTCTAACTAACCGAATTTGAAAGAATCTACTAAGGCTATCTTCGATGAATATTGCAAGATTAATCAAAATTTGTTCAAAATTTGTTCAGTTGAATCAGCCGTTAGCGAGAGCCCGAGCTACAATTTCTTTTTAGGATTATTTAGAAGAATGTATATGAAATCAAGTTGAAAACTATTTTCGAATAGATTTACATTTAAAACATCTGAAGATTTCGGTTACGGTTAGAATTACAGTTAAGCTTAAACAAAGGTTATATTGTTGGTTGACAAAAGGTTCATATAATACTAATCATTTGAAAATACAGTTAATAATATTATTATCTATAATGAAAGATCTAATACTTTGATGCTGTTCATTTTTTTTTATTTCTTCGTTAAACATATAATTTTAAAGAATTTAAATATGTAAGCAAAATTTTCGCTATAAATTTCAGTTTGAGAAGAAGATATTTACGTTGTTCATTCCATATGATATATATATATGTAAATAATATATGTATATACATATACATGTAGTACTTAGTAAATAATAATCTTCTTTTATACCCTCATGCAATTATAATACATTTTATATAGAAATTAAAAGCAAATTGAATCAAAATTCCTTTAATTCAACATTATATGTACCTTTGTATTTTATGAAAGCAATATTTCCAGCCGTGGGATATTATGAAGATATTTCTGATTATGAAGTGTAATGTTGATTGTTTTTGTTCCGTTTGTTGCTGTTTCATGAATTTGAACCTTTCTCACTATATAAAGGCAAATTTAGACGCCACATGTATAATATTTTCAGTATAATACTAAATTTTGTTATAATTTATCCGTTCTGTCGTCAAATACTCATCATCGGCCTATCAGAGCCCACTGCTGAGCTGCCTCTTCTAACATGGAGGAGGTTTGAGCATTAATCACCACGCTTGCTCAAGACGGGTTGGTGATTTCAAACTTATAATAGTGAAATTATAAGTCCAGGTTTCCTCACGATGTTTTCTTTCGTCAAATTGTAATACAATTATATTTTAAAATACTTTTGTCTCAATTTTTGTATTAAATAAGTTTTAATGAAGTTAAATTATGTGTTTAAAACTATATTGTCATGTTTTTGGATATAAAATTAGAATTATTATTGTCTAATTTTATCTTTGAGTACACAGGTAGGTATTGACGAGAGGTTTTAATTGTTTTTGCTAAATACTTCATTTTGTTTTATAGATTTAAAATTATGATTTTAACTGTTTAAATTTATAGCAAAAATGAAAAAAAGGCATAAAAAAACAAAGCATTATAAAATAACTGTCGTTTTTTTCAAATGTCAGATGATTTCTTCTTCAGTATGAACAAGCCTTAATAACCTGTTGTAGTTGTGAGTCTAGGTCTTAATGCAAGCCTCTAACGATGTAAGAAGTCAAGTGTCAATTATGTAATTAATTAAATTTATTTACATATGACAGTTTTAATTATCTTCATTAAATATATGTGAAAATTTATTATTAATATTTTAACAATATATGAATATGAAGGACTCGTGTAAATATATATTTTTATATGTATTTATAAGTTTAAGTGATGCTGTACCAAACAAGATTGAATGTGGATATAAGGTATGTCTTCGTAAAATTAAACTTTATTTTTCATTATAAAATCAAATACATATTTTCTCGTAAAAGTGTTATTGATACGAGACGAAACCTCTTAGCATTTAATGTATTTACGGTGCGTGTGTCGGGTCCATCGTTGTAATGAGAGGAGCTTCAACAGTGACTGGGACTTGTGACCCAGGTGTAGGTTTAATATATATAGAGAGACGAAACCTCTCATCATTCCATGTATTCACGGTGCGTGTGTCGGGTCCATGGTTGTAGTGAGAGGAGCTTCAACAGTGACTGGGACTTGCGACCCAGGTGTAGGTTTAAGGGACACTATCTAACGCGTTATACGCTCACCTCAACCGTACAAGCTCCTCTCTCTACATAACCAAATTTGAATCGAACCTATTAGGGCTACCTGCGAAGTACGTTTCGAGAAAGTATTTATTCATTTTAATTATTAAATCAATATTTATATAACTTATATAGTACTATCGTTTATTAAATTCCCTTTTTGGTCTGTAAAACTTTTACACCGGATTAAAAGAGTATTTTTGTATTTTTTTCTTTTAGCAATGCCCTCCAACAAGAGATGGTGCTTTAAATGTACATCTAATACCTCATTCTCATATGGATGCAGGTTGGGTGAAGACTTTTGATGAATACTATCACGGCAGTAAGTTATCATTGAGTCCAAAGAAATTTTAGTATCATCACTTAGATTTACAGTTATAGTCCAACTCATAAAAACTATTCCTAAATATATACCTAGATTAAACTAAAGATATTTTAGTTTCGATTCAGAAATCTGGAAAAATAAACAATTGTAATCGAACTAATTTTACATACATATAATTTACGTCAACGCGACATTTTGTTATCAAAAACAGGAAGATTTAAAAACATTAGAATTAATTAACACTTATAAATGTCAGCGATTTTTGTGTGATCGAAAAACAATTATTTGTTAAATATTTCCACTATACATATTTAAAAACAGCATGATGTAAAGTATGTGTTTTTTTTTAAATAAATGTAAAAAACCCATTGTTTATTATGTATTTAATATTTCAGCCAAAACAAGCGTGAGTTCAGCTAATGTCCAACTCATATATCATTCTGTTCTATCAGAACTTCTTCACGATAAGAGAAGAAAGTAAATATAAATTATATTATAATAATTCTTCTAGAAGAATAAAATATAGTATTTTTCTGACTCTTTTATGTAATGCGTCTGATGGATATTTTTGTTCATTTATTTTTGTAGTAGTGTCTTTATAACAACTGGATACTCTCAATTATAGGAGTAGACGTTAAAAGTACTATAGTAGATATTTGTGTCTATCGTAGATAGATATTTGCTATAATTATATGTACCATAATAAATATTATTTATATTATACATATGTATACATTCTGCAGATTATTGCATGATAAAGAAAGTCTTCTTTCGCCTTAATAACTAACCTTTTATAACATTTCATTTCGTTCTTCAATTACAAACGCAATTATATTCAGCAATATTAGATTCTTCTTTTTATATTACTTATCATATCATATACTTTATAACCTGTTAATTAAAACCAATCAATTAATACATTTTTTGTGTTTATAGGTTCACTTTCTCGGAGACAGCGTATTTTTGGCGTTGGTGGAAGGAACAGCGCGGAACAACACGAGCGACCTTCAGGTCTTTGGTGGCAGAAGGTCGGATTCAATTCGCTGGTGGCGGCTGGGTGCAGCCTGATGAAGCTACGACGGACTACCTTCAACTACTGGATCTATATACTTGGGGGTTAAGGTTTGATACGATATTGACTTTACTTTTGTGAGGAGATATAGCCTAGCTAGGGTAAAGTTACTCCAACTCGAAAATGGGTCAGCTCGACCGGGAAAATACCACCCTCTCTCAGAAAATCGGCTTGAAATAGCCTTTATTGGCTGCGTTTCGTCCAGTGAGTGAGAGAGCCGGTTGCCCTTTCCCTTTTCCCACCCTTTCCTGTCCTTTTAAGGATGTCCAAGAGCGACTACTACTACTGGTACTACTATAAAAAAAAAACTACCAAAAAATATTCTTGGCACATGTGCCAAAAGATTTGTATTTGCTTAAGAACATATTTTTACGTAATAAAAGTAGTTATTTGCTATAAAACATAGTTTAAATTGGAAAATTACTCGAAACCAAGTAAAACAACTCCATTTTCTTATCGCAAAGACAATAATTGAATTGTTCTATCACAAATTATAAGCGTTTTTGAATTTTCGTAGGAAACTGAATGACACTTTGGGCCCTTGTGGCAAGCCCAAGGCTGGCTGGCAGATAGATACTTATGGACATTCAAGGGAACATACATCTTTATTAGCACAAATGGGCTTCGATGGACTATTTATAGGTATTTTTTTTTTATTATTAAAAAAACAAAAACAGAATTCCATAATAGGTAGAAAGGTTTTTTTTCTAATTATGTAAAGTAATAATTAAGAATTAAACATTAATAATAGGTAGAAAAGTTTTATTAAGTTTCAGACAGAAATAGACTAAATTGTAATTGTTACTTTTCGTAAACATTTTGCATCATAGAGAATATATTGAAAAAAGGTCCCATTTTAATTTTAGTGTTGTGATATGATTGCAACAAAATCTGTACTAAACTCAAAATCGTATTTTAACTATAGCAGTAAAAGTATCTTAGTTAAATATTTGAAAGCCAAGATTATCTTTTAAGGTTAATTCAAATTTATTTTACAGGCAGAGTGGATCACAAAGAAAGGGAATCGATGATGGATGAAGGCAGAATGGAGTTTATGTGGCGAGGAAGTGACGTTTTGGGTACTTTTATATGTCATAATCTATGGCTATAATATTAAAAAATATCTTACTAAATACTCATAGATATCGATAATATTAATATTTACATACATTTTATTACTTATCAGATAAAAAAAACTTTGCAAAAAGATTCAACGCTCTCAATAAAATTTACATTTACGCAAAACTGTACTTTTCAGATCCTATACTAATATTTTTCCAAAAAATCGCCATTATCTACAATTATATAACAAAAAAATATATTTTACCCAATCCCTACGAATATTATAAATGCGAAAGTAACTCTGTCTGTCTGTTACTCTTTCACGCCTAAACCACTGAACTGATTTTAATGAAATTATATTGGTATAGACATAGAGTTGCCCTTGGGAAAGAACATAGGATAGTTTTTATCCCAGATTTTTGAAAGGTTCTTTTGGAAACGCGATATAACCGAACTTCACGCGGGCGAAGCTGCGGGCGGAATGCTAGTATTTTTATCAATATTTAACTCAAATTATTGCCAAATTCTAATTATTTTTAATAAATCCAGGTAAAATGTCGGACATCATGACGCATACGATGTTCAACTTGTACAACGCTCCCGAAGGGTTTTGTTTCGATTTTCTATGTAATGATGAACCAGTTGTGGATGATCCTGATAGCAAAGTATTCAATGCTGATAAATTAGTAAGTACATACATATATGATTAAAATTGTCAGCGGTGGCCTAGTGGTTAAAGGGCTCGCCTCTCGTTGCCGAGGGCGCGGGTTCAATCCTGGCCCGGGCAAGTACCAATGTGATTTTTCCGACACATATGTACTTTCTAAGAGTATTTAGACATCACTGATTAATGCATTCCCAAAGAGGGTTGATATCAGGCAGGCGGCCGGTCGTAAAAATAAATAGACAAAACTATTCACATGTAGACCCTGGCTATAGCTGGGAAATTGCAAGGTAGAAGAAGAAGATATATGATTAAAATAATCTCTTACATCAAGTACAAGCTATAAATTATTGTGATTTTTCTTCGGTAAGCAATTAATCTCTAATTTAAATGAAAATAATATTTTTCGGATATATTACGTGACTGTTATTGTAAAGCTTACTTCCGACGTTTTGGCTACTTTTCAGCAACCATGATCACGAAGACGAGATGTGACAAAATTTCTTTGAAATTTATTTAGCATCTTGATTAAAAGATTTGTAATTTTCAATGGTTACATATAGAATTACATTTTATTAAATGTCGATAAATTAAATAATAGATTTCCATTTCAAAATATATTACTTTAAATCTTCTATATATATATATATATATAAATGGATTGCTGTTCCTTAGTCTCGCTAAAACTCGAGAACGGCTAAACCGATTTGGCTAATTTTAGTCTCGAAATACTCCTGGAAGTCCAGGGAAGGTTTAAAAGGTGAGAAAAATTGGAATTATTGCCGGGAAAACCCTAAAAACCCTAAAAAATAAAATTATAATTTTTCTAAAATGTCTTACGTAAATAATGAAATATATCATTAATAAAATTCGTAAGATAAAAACAAATTTGATATCATTTGCCCGTGATCAAGGTTGCTGTAAAGGAACTGAATCATCGGGAGTATATAGTTAAAAAAAAATAAAATACGAGTTGTATCCTAAACTTAGTTTCATTTCAATGTTTACTTGCGAAAGTCTTAACTAATATTATAAGATGCACTTCCTTATAAACTAGATATTTTCGTAAATATCTTTATTTTATTAAAATTTTAAATGATTTTAATACAAACCTTTTATTTAAGACGCATACCCTTTTTGTTGATATTCTAAGTAATTTCAATATTTCATGACATAATGACAAACAGACGAGAGTTTGTGATCACGGTTGCTGAAAAGTAACCGAAACGTACGGAGTATGTAGTTTAAAGTAATGAAAAACGAGTAGGAATCTGAAAAATATTAGTTTTATTTAAATATACAAATAGTAATTAATATGTTTATTTTCAGGTTAACAATTTTATTAGTCAAATAGAGAGACAAGCTAAATACTACGACCACGACACTATTATGGTGACTCTAGGAGGAGACTTTACTTATCAAAGTGCAGCAAATTGGTTCATGAATATTGATAAATTAATAAAGTAAGTAATTTTCAATATATTTATAAGATTTAACACATAATTATCAAAAAAAAAACTGTGCATGCACAAAAGTGTAACTTTGTAATGTTGGAATGAAAACAGTAAGGGTTAGAAATTGATTTTTAACGAATATTTGTGTTACTTTAAGACAATCTTTAGTAACATTACTTACAAGTCACTATAGATTGCCCGCATGCTTTCCAGAAACACGCATTGCCTCTCACTCTGTCTCTTTTTATACCCCCAGGAGCGTTAAACATTTAACGCAACCCCATTTTAACTCACATAAGAAGTTTCAATTTTAATAAGTCCAGGAAACTTACTTATATGTATATTATAATAAGAATTACATATTAAAACTTATAACCTACACCTAAGACTACATGATTGACCCAATGTTATGATAGCAATACCATTCCATAGCTTGTGTGTATCAGGAATCTTCTGGTTCACACGCTTGGTGTTCGTTCCGCGGAGTCAGCGGCGTCACTCGTTTTATAATATTTTATCCATACAACGATATTATTCCGACGACGTTCGATTAATATTCAATACGTGACGAGTACTCAACAAAAATCTTGATTGATCTGTATCAAGCTAAACTTATTTAAAATTATATTATTTGTGCGATAACATGTAGCGAAGAATCTATGAAACAAAACTATTAATATATACATAATTAAAGATAATATTATTTACTGAAAACAATAGTTATCTTTAATCAAATGAAATCAATACAATTTCGATTGATACGTTCAAGTTATACTTTCAAATCATCTTTAATCACTACTGCAATATACAATGAATAAAAGAGTAAACGAAAACTTCTATAATATCCCTATTAATATTATAAATACGAAAGTAACTCTGTCTGTCTGTTATGCTTTCACGCCTAAACCACTGAACTGATTTGAATAAAATTTGGTACAGACAGAGAATTGACCTTGAGAAAGAACATAGGATAGTTTTTATCCCAGACTTTTGAAAGGTTCTCTTGGAAACGCGATATAACCGAACTCGACGCGGGCGAAGCTGCGGGCGGAGAGGTAGTTGTTATATATATAAATACACTATAATGGCATTGACAATGACCTTATTGCTTTTTGTGGTTTAAACGTTACGTACATTTTAATCATACTTACATGACGGAAGTGTCGCTTACATAAATTATTTCAGTGAGCATGTTACGTATACTTAAACAGGAAACGACTTATTTTGGTAAAGCTATGAAGTTATTATTATAGTGAAGTTTATGACATATTATGCGGATGAATGTCATATAACAAGAAGAATATAGATAACAATGTGGGGGGAAATGTGGGTCGAGGTAGACCTAAGAAAAGATGGATGGATTGTGTGAAGGATGACATGGCTAAGAAAGGGGTAACAGATGAGATGACGACTGTAGGCGAGACTGGAGAAGAACATGTTGTGCTGACCTTATATAAAGTGGGACAGGGCAGGAAGAAGAAGAGTGAAGTTTATGATATGTTATACTAATATAAGTGATAAGTATGCTTTAATAAGTTAGTGAGTTACCGCTCAGTCTAGACTAGCTTTTAATAAGTCTACGATAAGCTCGTTATACTGTGGAGTTTTCGGGAAGTCTCCATAAGCGTATTTATATAATAAAATCCAAGGTATTTGTGATATCACTATGCGTTTTTTTATTATTTTGAGTACATACTTTCTATGTCTCTGTTAATTTGCACCAACCGTGATCACTGGCAGACGAGATGTGAATGTCTATAAGTTGGTCTATTTATTCAATACTGGTAGTAATATTCGAAAAACCTTGGTTTTATTTAAATGAATACACTCAAAAATCTTAAATATCATTATATATAAAATAATAAATAAGTATATATAATACAAGTCAATGGTGGCCTAGTGGTTAAAAGGCCCGCCTCTCATGCACGAGGGCGCGGGTTCGATCTTGGCAAGTACCAATGTGATTTTTCCGAGTCATATGTACTTTCTAAGACTATTTAGACATCACTGATTAATGCATTACCAAAGAGGGTTGATGTCAAGCAGAAAAAGAAAATTATTCACAACATGTAAGGCAGACCCTGGTTAAAGCTGGGAAATTGTCAGGTAGAAGATATAATATATACAAAACAAAATGCCAATATGATTAAATTATTAATATATATCTATATTTCTTTGTTACCAGCTACGTCTCATCACACCCAGCGAATATGTCAGATGTCAATATATTTTATTCTACCCCCGCCTGCTACCTTAAAGCTATTTATTTATATGGAAGACGAGATAAAGCAGTTCACACGGAAAAAGTAAGTGTTAATTTATTACTAAAAATCATTGAAATACAATTTGATAGTTTCACTTATTCCATTATATTTCTTCTCCTACCCTAATAAATTTTGCTTAAACTACCGTGGGTCTTGATTCATAAAAGTAAAATGTTTTGTTTCTGTATATAAGATATAGTAGTAAGTAGTTTCTGTATATATTAAAAAATGAATAAAAATATATATGCGTGGAGTCCCTGCGCGCAATATAAGTGAAACTTCGTAATATTGAAATGAAAACTAGAAGGCGTAGAAATAGATATTTAAGGATTTTTTTGTGTTTTTTTTAGACAATTTTTAAACAAACTTTATTAAAATTACTTACAAGTCACTGTCGCATGCTTTCATTCTCTCTCGCTCAAGAAGTTTTAAGTGGTATACGAAGTTTCACTTCAAAAAACGATAATAATAATGCCGCATCAAAAATATTGGTCATAATATTTCCTATCTTTCAGGGAGACCATCTTCCATATGGCAGTGATCTAAATACGTATTGGACAGGCTTCTATACATCAAGACCATCTTTAAAATATTTAGCGAGAAGAGCTCACGTATTTCTTCAGGTTTGATTCAAATTTAACTGATTATTATTTCAATACAGTTAATATATGTAAATTTAGCTGTTTAAGATTTGGTTCAAAGTCTACATAATGTACTTAAATAAAATATAATATGAATGGAAAAATCCAACACAATAAGACAATTTAACAAAACAGTACTGTCAAATAAATATAATTATTTCAATTTTGAAACAAGTTTAAGCTATCTTCTTGTTATTTTTGATAATTTTACTTAATTGTTTATCGTTTTTCATGTAGATCGTGAAGCAGCTGACAGTTATTTCTCGTATGGGAGATTTTTACGAATTACATTTACTGCGCCACGCCGCAGCATTGGTTCTTCACCATGATGCTATTACTGGTAAAACTAATATTACAATATATATACAGTGGTTATTTGATATTCAGATGTACACAGACGTAAAGTAATACACGCACACATGCTTGCACAAAGAAGCAGATGTAATAATATACGCAAAAGTAATCAAAATTGAATCAAAATTAAAATTGAAAAATTCCAAGAACACCAAAAAATGATCAATAAGATTCATACATGTTTTTTAAATACGTTATGAACAACTTTTAAAATATAAAATATGTCATTACGTTCAATTGAAAATATTTTTAATAAACATTTATTATTATTAGACACATGATTTCATAATATACAAGGTCTAGAAGATTACGAGAGGGTACATTTAAAAATATTTAACAATAGGTAAGTAGAATAGTTTTTATGAATGTTATCAGGATTGAATTGCGTAATTTTAAGCATATTTAATAGTGGATGACGGTCATTCAGTGAAATTTTCGTGTAGCAACGCCGCAGGAATACTCTAGTATATGTTGATTACAAAGAAATATTTTTCTGACACCGTATTTCAAGTTGATGTTATAGCCCTATTTTGTTTATTAAATTAAGCGTTGACATACTAATTATATTGGGTGGCAACCGGAGGTTCCAGGAAAACTACGAAACATACACACTTATATGTAAATTATAATAAGGATTACATATTAAAACTTATAACCTACACCTAAGACTACATGGTTGACCCGATGTTATGATAGCAATACCATTCCATAGCTTGTGTGTATCAGGAATCTTCTGGTTCACACGCTTGGTGTTCGTTCCGCGGAGTCAGCGGCGTCAAGAGTTATACGACATTTTACCGATACAAAGATGTCGCCCCGGCGATGTTCATTTTTTTTCTTCATATGTAACATACTTTTTACTTATTATATCTAATAATATATTTAATTACAGGTACAAGTCAACAACGAGTGTCCGATGATTTTATTAGAATTATATCGGAAGCGATTGACGCCTGTTCCAAAAAAGTTTCACAGTTTCTAAGGTGAGTTAAGTTATACTCGCTAGTCGACATTCGCGAAAGCTAAAATTAAATATTAATAGTCTCTTTTATCAAACCTACTGGTAATAAAGATTTTTGGAGATTATTTCATATTTTGGATTTTTGCCGAAAAAAAATAAACATATACATATAAAATTATTCTTGACTGCAACTTGTTTTTTGCTCTATGACTAATTTCTGAACAATGAGTACGATAATGAGATACATCTTTATATCAATACTACTTAATATAAAAAATATCATAGGAATCCATTTCATAAAAGTTTTGACATTTGTATACTACAGTATTCTAACGCCCACGTGGGGAGCGAGTCGACGGTCTAAGAACCACCAACAGTTTGTAATGTGCCATCAACTTAATATGAGTCAATGTAAAGTAAGTTTAACTTTATTAGAATAAAAAAACAGCAGTTAAAATATAGTTTGATTAGTAGGAGCGTCGAAGGCTTTTGGATTTAGAAGAATAATCTATATTAAAATATAAATATTGGAAGTTTTGTCTTGGTTATTATAGCTGACGACCCATTTAGATACCTCGCCTTATTCGTCGTTTAAAGTCACCAGATAATTGTCTTTGATACCGCCTATGATCAGTAATTAGATTTGTTTCCTGTCAGAAAAGTCTTCATTCCATTCTGCAGGGAATATAACACTCATTTTCAGTATAATGTTCCCGCCAGCGATAAATAAAAGCCCTAGTTAAAAATGTGCAAATAATTAAGAATTTGGACCAAAAATAATAACTAACTTCTCTTATATCATGCAAACAGTGTATTGTTGACGCAAAATCCAGCACAAAAGTTAAAATTAAGTTATTCTAAATGTGCTAAGGCTATCCATTCGCCTGTCATAATCCTATAGATTGAAGAGTCACTGTTACTAGTTTTAATTTATGTTAAGGACTGTTTATACTGCAACGAAAATAATACCATCATTTAACTTTTCCACTCTATGTTTTTTTGGTCAAAGTTTTTTAAATTTTATCGAATGAGTCTTGAAATATTAGGAGTGGCTAAAATAGTATAATTTAATGGAACAGATCGTGGCTTATTTTGATATTAATTTACATCATTTCAGTTCTCCGAGACTCAAGAATCAATTTTGCTGGTAGTTTACAATCCCCTCAGCGTTAAAACGTACTCTCACGTGCGTCTACCAGCTATAGCACTACACTACTCTATCAGAGATTTTAACGGTAAGACTTATTATTGGATTTTGATAGCGCACTTGCTATCACTTTGATTTACTTTGCTTAGAGATTAAAAATAGAAATATCTCTTTGTTGTCTCACCCAAAAACTAAATAAACATTGGATTTATATTGAAATTTTAAATAATAATACTTAGATTACATAACAGCTTAATAAAAATTTTGCTACCTAAAAATCCATTCGTCGATAACAAAGAATTCAAAAATAACTACATATATATAATATATCGAATTCATGTAAGAAAATAACGTATTTATGTAGTGAATTTTTCACCCAAAAAAGAATTAATACAAAAATAAAGCTAAAATTACACGGGAACAAAGTTGAGACCAACAACTATGCAACTTTTTTCAGATAATAGAAACGAATGCACAAAAGATAAATAACTTTTATAATTTTAAATTCTAACAAAATTTAAATTAAACTCATATTTTTCGGATTATACTACTAAAATTATACTATCTGCTGCTGAAAAGTAGCCGAAATGTTCGTAGTATGTTGTTTTTACAAAAATAAAGTCTCGTAGTATATCGGAAAAACTAGCTAAAATCTTGGATCTTATTATATTCTAACAAAATCTTGGTCTGCTTATGTTTATATATTGGTGATCATCATCATGACTTACAGATGATGAAGTGGAGTATCAGCTAGTTCCTCTGCCTGCTGCAATCATCAACCTTCCAGGACGCAGTTCCACCGCCATCCAGGAGTTAGTCTTTGAGGCTGAAAACGTGCCACCGCTGGGATTCACTTCCTACCACATATCACCAATACGAGATCAACTGGTGTCTATTTTTATCTCTAGCTTAGTCATCCTTGCTAATACTATAAATGCGAAAGTAACTCTGTCTGTCTGTTACGCTTTCACGCCTAAACCACTGAACTGATTTTAATGAAATTTGGTACAGAGATGGAGTTGATCTTGAGAAAGAACATAGGATAGTTTTTAGGTCAGACTTTTGAAAGATTCTCTTGGAAACGCGATATAACCGAACTCCACGAAAGTGCAGCTGCGGACGGAAAACTAGTATTGAATAGAATTAGATTTTCTAAATAATTTTTCTTGTTCCTAATTATTAATTTGTTTAGTTATGTAGTAAGAAATTGAATTCGTTATTTTTATTTTCGATACTTAAGAATTTTGTTATTCATTCGACAAAAAAAATTAAGCTTATATTATCTGAGGAAATTCACAATTATTTTGTTCCATTATTAGTATGAGTAGGAAATGATCAGTTAGAATAGACAGTTGTTAATCCAATTTAATGTTCATCCTCTTAGTTACAACACTAGTTTAAATAGTGTGATTTTTGCCCAGGAATTTGGTCCCCATACAAGGATTTCTCAAAAAACATTGCATATGTATTAAATATAAGATTGATTAACCACGTATATAATAAAAAAATTGAAATTAGTTCAGCAGTTTTCTCATAATAAACTTAGAAACAAATATTGATAACTATAGCGTTTATTTATATAGATTAATTTTTTGCAGGCTGAGAGCCAATTCTTGAAGAAATCTCAAGACGTCGAACAAGACCTCATTAACTTTATTTCTAATGAAGTAAGTACTTAATGTAAATTGTGAAGAATTTTGTCATAAATTAGAGACGTGTTTAGTTTTGAAACACAAAGAATTGTCACTTTAGTTATTTCAGAGTTAAAATGTACATGTTAAAAAAATGCCTTAATTCCTATATTTGTAGGAAAATATTACCTAAATTAAAAATGCTTAAAATTTTTCAGTATATCAAGATAACTGTCGACAAAACCACTGGTCTGCTGGAATCTTTCCAGCATGCTGACGGGATAAAAATAAGTCTATCCCAAAATTTCTACTTCTACAGTCAGACTCAGCAGGTTTTACAATCTGGGGCGTATAGCTTCAGACCGGAGAAAGAGAAACCTACACCAGTGAGTTTACAAAAGATTACTTAATACTTTATTTTTTTCTCATAGTACATTTACTATTAAAGAGATTTATAATAGAATCAAAAATCTTATTCACTATATTTCTCGGGATAAAATTTTATTGTCCATCTTTATATGGTAATTTTGTTATTAATGAGCAGGATCTCATATTTATTTATGATTCCTGTTTGCTGTCAAGTTGATCTTAAATGATTTACAAACAATAAGACAAGAAAACCAACAATCTTTATTGCTATTATTTCACGTTACATAGTTATTATATGTAGTCTAAGTACATGCATATATTTATTTAGAATTGGCAGGTTTAAAATCTGTTTCGTAATCAATTCTGTTTTGAATACAAAGTTTAGCAGAAAACAGAAAATAGTTTCTTTGGGTTAAGTTTTAATCTTCCTTTTGATTATTTTGGCAAGTGTAATTATAAGGATGAACCTATAAATTTTTCGGATGTACTACGGGACTTTTTCAACCGTGATCACGATTACTGTAAAGTAACCGAAACATCGGGGGCATGCAGTTTTTACAAAAATAAATATGCCAGTATAATCCAAAAAATATTAGTTTCATTTAAATTAATACTCGCGAAAATCTTAGATCTCATTATGTAATTGTAAGGATTTTATTTTCCAAGGTGACTGACAAAGTGACCTTCCACACCATACGAGGTCCATTAGTGAAGGAAATACGCCAGCGTTTTAATGATTGGATCACACAAGTGGTTCGTCTCCATCGCGGAGAGGAGTTTGTGGAAATAGAGTGGATCGTAGGCCCTGTACCAATAGGGTGAGTTTAAATATAAACTATTTACTTGATTGCCAAAAAATTTTTACTTACGTATCGTCAAAGGCATGACAATGATATAAAAACATGATTATTTATCAGTGACACTATTTGCTTTCCCAAATCATTACGTAAAGAACGTTAGACACAGATTTTAGCCAATTTCTTTAAATTTGATTATTTATAACTCAATCATCTTTTACTTTTCGTTAAAGGAGAATTTTAAAAAGATATGACTATTTATCAGTGCCACTATTTCCTTGAATAGATTACTAAAGACACAGATTTTAGACAATTTCTTTATATTTGTTTATTTATAACTCAATCATTCTTTCAGAACTGATCTTGGCAAGGAAGTTGTAACAATATATCAAACCAACATCAGCAATAACGATATCTTCTACACCGACTCCAACTCAAGACAAATGATTAAAAGATCGTGTTGGAATGAATCTTCAAGTAAGTTCCTGTTATTTAATTATGAAATAAATTTTGAATATAATAAAATAAATACACTTATCATATAAGAAATATTGGTCTTAGGAAGTCAGGACACCATATAATGTATACACTTACGACAGTACTTAAAACAACATATATTTTGTATGCTTGGACAATAACTAATATTTCAAATTTAGTTGAGAAGCATGCTCTGTAATTTCAACAAACATTTCCTTCTTTAGTGATTATAAATGCCCATAACATTACAATAACCTATTATTGTGTCCAATACAATCAGATAATTAATTTATCATACTTTCAATAGTAACACAACAAAAGAAACCAGTGTCTTCATGCTACGCTCCAATTACTTCTCGTATCTGCATCGAGGGTAACAGCAGCGATGCTATGTGCGTACTGACGGATAGAACGATGGGTGGTGTGGGGCGCGATGGTGGCATTGAAATCATGGTATGAAAAATTATTTTAATTTAGCTATATTGCCTACGTGGTAGAACCTAGCTGTGGTTAAGTAACTACAGAACTTGGGCTAGCTCGACAGGGAAAAACCACCCTCTCACAGAAGATCGACGTAAAGTGGTTTTAATGGCTGCGTTTCGTTCAATGAGTGAGAGATATGATGGCCCTTTTTCCACCCTTTCTACTTCCTCTCCCACAATCAAGGCGACGCATCCGCAACATCTCTTAAGTTGCTATCCTTTATGTGTGGTGATGACTAACTTCGTAGGTAGGCTGACTGCTCATTTATCACCTTTGAAATAAAAAAAAGTTTGTGAATAATACACAGTGGAAACAAAAGCTGTGCTACAACTTAGTTTATTTATTTCTTGATTGTTCTTTCTTCTAAACGTGTTTTAGTCAACGTAAGGAATAGCTTATTATTATATACGGTACAATATTCTCGAACGAGACTTGAAGTGGCTAAAATAAGAGAGTTCGTTCTGAAAATTACAAATACACTTGAAAATGTCCCTTGTCCCTTTTTATACTACAATACCTGCGTAATATATTTTTTCTCTTCTGATGTTTTATTGCTGATTGTACAATCTTAAAAACCAGAACCGAATTCACTTTTTATTCAACGAAGTTCGATACAATTTCACTACTTATTTATTTAATGTACACAAAACTAAAAATAACTAACTTTAAACTATGTAGTTTTTATGATGAAATCAAATCTGACTATAATACAAATGATAGATTTGAACACACAAGAAATCTGTAATCTATTAATGTATCACATCAACGCGTTCAGAATGAAGAAGAGTCCTGATCTTCTCTGACAAATATATTATGCGGTTCGCTCCTCTCCTACCTTCAGATATGACTACAATATATATTACAATTTATAGGTCCATCGAAGATTACTAACAGACGACGGCTTTGGTTTAGACGAGTCACTGAATGAGGAAGCTTACGGAGTCGGATTGGTGGTGAGAGGGAAACATAGATTGTACGTGGGAAACTATCACCAAGAAGGTTAGTCGAATGAAACTTGTCTTTCTAATGAATGAATTAAAAAATATAAGCAATTAATCTTCTTTTCAGTTGACGACCAAACATTCTTCGAAAGAACAGCACAATTGGCGAGAAAATGGATGTTTGAGCCCTGGCCGTTTATGACTTCCGCTGAGAAGATTAACAGGAGGAAATGGCAGAATATTAGAAACAAAAGGGTGGATATTGTTTTTGTTTTATCAATTTCTTTTCATCCGAACTCATTCTTATACAATTTTTGTTACAAACCCACTACTCTTTTATAAATATCCTTAACAAAGAACTCTTATTTTATCTTCTAGGCTATCGTCAATATTTTTATAGGATAATTTATGTGGAAAGTACTTTTATTCAAATAAAGCTTTTGAGACTGCCTTATATAATAAAAATATAATGTCACATATATACATTCACTGCGTCCACAATTATTCCCAAAATAATAATAATGACAGAATAACTTTTATATTTTCGTCAGTTTTCTGCCCTTCGTTTGCACGGCCTGCCGCGTCATATACACGTGCTTACTTTAGAGCCGTGGAAGGGAGGCTCGGTTCTGTTACGACTGGAAAATACTCTGGAATCTTATCATGGTACTAAAACATTCATCCTACTAAAATTATAATAGCGAAAGTTTGTGAGTGTGAGTGTATGTTTGTTACTTCTTCCCACTCAAACGGCTGAACCTATGTATTTTGATAAAATTTTGTATACAGGAATCTGACGTCTAGGAATAAGATATAGGCTACTTTACATCCTGTAAATCCCAAAAATTCGCGGGTAACACCGCGGGGCGCAGTTAGTATTTGATCATTTGAAACCATACCAAGAGATTTCCAACAATAATATATTAATTAAAACTTTATCAGAATATTTGATGTTTAAACGCAAATAGGATGGCCTTACATAGAGATATACGATTAATTTTAATCTACATATCAAAAATATAATATAGGTATTAGAAAACTAATAGTCTTTATTGTCAGTCAAACAAGGAAAAGATTTGCCTGATGATGTAAGAAACGCCCACATAACGGTCGAACTCCGAAAAATATTTCTCCACGCTGTGATCAAATCAGTACGAGAGACAACGCTTGCAGCCAATCAATGGTTGGAAGATGCTCGCCAAATGGATTGGAGCACAAGGTAGATTATACATATGTAGCTTTTTTCTAAAATTACTACCGTATCCATTAATTACAGATGAGTTGAAAGTGACAAAACAGTGTTTATTATGATATCCCATGAATAAAATCAATTCTTCTATAAGATGTGTTAATAGGAAGAGTTTCAGTTATTACATAGTGAAAGTTTCCGAGAAAATTAACTATGTGGTGATACTTCACTACCGAAAACTTGATATCCTTGGAAACATACTTTATTCATATACTGCTGCAATCCTCTTTTCTTTGTCAAACAAGACACAGTACGTAGAGTACTGCAGTCATGTTTGTACAGGTTCTTCCTAATGTCTAATACAGTCTTAGTCTCCTTGGATACAAGCAAAAATTGGTAATCATCATGAAATTAAAACGACTCTATTTAGCTTTGGGCACAGATAAAAATAAGATAGCATTCGTCATTAACAATATATACCTTATGGATATGATTCTCCTACCATTTTTTAACAACGGATAAAGAATCGTACGGCCAGTCTTGTAGAAGTTCCTTATATATACCTTCATTCTTTCTCATCACAGGAAAGCTTTGAGATTCCCTACCACTTTCCAACTAGAATTTCGAGATTTAAAAAAAAGTGAATAGATTTTAACTGAGGTAGTATCTTCATCATCTAAAGCAACAGTTATGCTTGCCTAAATGTATATAAGAAAATTATGCTAATTACACTGTTTATAACTCAAGAACTACTGTAGGGATATAGCTAAAAATTGGTAGCCTAGAAACCAGGAAACAGACGTAGAATATTGAATTCTGTTCGATTATAAAAGAAATATACTTAATAAATTCCAATCTTGGTTATTTACTGCCTCTATGACGAGTTCTCCCAGTTAGCTAAACATATATTATTAATGCCGAAATTAACGAGGACGAAGTCGAAGGCAAAAACTAGTATATAAATAAAGTATACAATTTTCTGTATCCCTGTTTCCAGATACGTCTACGCTGGTGGTGATGACGGTATACTACCAGAAGACAACCCAGACTATATCGATGATTTGAAATTCAATAAGCAAGCCGACAATAAAGAAAATGGTAAGGATATTTAAAAACATTATTTGAAACTAGTTTAGTAGAATAAAAATAACTATATTTTGGTCCTAAATCATAATTTTTCTTACAGAACAAGATATGGAGGAGAGATATCCCAGAAGGAAAGAAGCAAAGCAAAGAAGCGCGAAAAAAGATGATTCTAAACCATCAACTAAGTACAGTTACAGAACAAAAAGATCTTCAAATAACACAGATTTAATTCAAACAAATTACACAAACGAACAGACAAGAAATACCACAGACAGCCGTCCACTATTGGGTTTCGAAAGCAGGACTTTTGTACCGAAAAATATTAGTGAAACAGATTTGGATATTATTAAAACAGAAGCAGTTACGAAGAAATATAAAAAATCCAAATATAGGTCCCTAAAGGCTCGACCGCTGAAGTTTTTTAGAGATTTAAGTAAAGAGAGCGATGAAGATGATGAGGATATGCCTGTTAACTTAAAAAAACGATCCTCAAAAAGAAAAAATACAACAAAAAAGTTTACGTCCTATACTTTGGATGGTGAGTAGTTAGCGTATATCCATATTAAGATTTCAATAGTAATATTTACGAATATAATAAAATAATAAAATAAACATATAGAATGCTTTTCATAGAAACATTTAGTAATAAATAAATGTATTAATTTCGAAAAAAATCAAATCTTACGGCTCTCGAATGTTCTATACGACTATATAGAAATATACATATAGAATGATTTTCATAGAAACATATATGTAGTATTAAATAAATGTATTAATTTCGAAAAAAAATCAAACTTTACGGCTTTCAATGTTCTATAAATGATTCCTGACAAAATTACCATTTGATAGTACATTTTTATACTTGCTACTGGCTAATATTTCGTATTTTAACTACAGAAAAGTGGTCTGCTTCTATCTTCTATTTCAGATCTATGCAAAGAAGATAAAGACGACGGTATAACCAAATCAATATATGAAATGTACTACAAGGTGAAGCCACGAAAAGGTTCTTTCAAACCCTACATCAGAAGCTCAGAAGTGACGGAAGATAGAAGAGTTAAGAGAATTGATGACTATTCTAGTGAGGAAGTCGTCAATAGAAGTAGGAGGCGGAAAGGAGGGAAATTGAGAAGTTCTGACACCTCGGAAAGAAGACGTGACCATGGAAAAATTTATTCACACAGAGGTTCGTGCTATTTGATTAATTTTTGGTATAAGTGACGAACAGATTGTCTACCTTTTGAGATATCTATATCCATAATCAAATTATACACTCTAGATTCTGTAGGTAAAAGTATTTCAAGACTAAAACACAAGAGATAGATGTGTATACTGGTATATTCTTATAAAATTTTCAGTTAACAGTGATAGGAGGGGGTTTCTATAAAATAATAATGTCAGCCGTCAATAAAACTTTTACCTTAATTAGTGAATAAACTAAAAAAAATATCATGTCCTCTGAATATTAACTAGCAATATTTTTTTTTTTAATTGCCTACAACGGCAACAAAATATATACATATAATTTTATTTTGTAAGCAGACAGAGAAAAAATCAATTATATTAAACTTAATACAATCCTGTAAAACTAAGTATTAGCTACCTATAGTTATATTATTTCTCTTGTAAAGTAATTTTATTTCCAATTAAAATATTAAAATATAGATAAGAAAATTTTCCGCTTCGTACGGTTTGATTTGTAATTGAACGAGAAGATGAGATAATAATTCTAACGATGCTTCTCCCAGAAACCAAATCAAAAACTTCGGAAAGAAGAAGGAGAGGTCGGCGGGAGTATCTCGACTACTCACAGGAGGAAGAAGTGAATTCACCAGCTTATGAAGATTATAACGAAGAGGAAACATACACCAGAAACAAAAGGTAAATAAAACTAATATTTTTCGGATACACTACGATGTGTCATCTGGTCTTCATGATCACGGTTGCTAAAAAGTAGCCGAAACGTCGGAAGTATGTAGTTTTTATTGAAAATAAAGTCGAGTAGTTTATCCGAAAAATATTAGTTTCCTGTAAATAAGACCCCCGAAAATCTTAGATCTCAAAAAGTAAATAGGTACTTCGAACATCCAAAATCACAATAACACTTACTATCACCATCAAACCAAAGACTATTAAAATAAACCAAGAATTACATATAACTATATTTACCTATATATTATTTATTAATGTGAGAAGAGTACAGACAGTGAATATAAAATGTTTGGCAGAAACTATTAAGAAGAATTCTTATTATTTTAATGCAAACAAATGTTAAAAGACAGACATACATAGATATAATGTTACTTAGTAAACAACCTAAGAAATTCTTTTATATGACATCACTGATATAACATTTACCATATTCATATCTTATGTATTGAATATGAAAAATGTCTACGTATTTACAACTGCATAATATTTATTATTTTTCAGAGCAACCCAGAACGACGAACAAACTGACCAAAGTACTGAGGAGGCAGATCAAGATTACATCATCACTCTCAAACCCACTCAAATAAGAACATTCGTTATTTGGTTCGAAGAAAAGAAACCATATACTCTATAAGAAATTAATTAATAGGCATAAATGTATTTATTTTTAAAGTATATACGCATACTTTGTACCTATAGAAAAATAAGCTAAATAATTCTTACTTATCAGTCTTACAAGAATTCAAGAAATTTAGCTATAATAAAGCAAATGGAAAAAAATCACAATAAAATCTTGTCTAAGACTATTTTGAAGTAATTTAATTCAATATTACCAGGAAAAAAGATTTAAAGCCTATAAAATACTTTTTTTACAATAAAAATATATTGATTATAAAGTAGTGGATAATTTGTTACTAAACTAAATTGTTATTTTGTTTTCAATAGGGTGGCCATTTAAAGCTCAAAAACTCTGAACTCTTTCGAACATCGAGGCCAAGAACAATTATGGCAGCCCCACAAATCTAGCTTCATATAAGAAAACATTGACTTAAGGCGTAGTGGCTCAAATCTTCCAATGAATTAATTAACCTTGTATATTCTTGAAAACAAAGTATAAAATAATCAATAAAAACCCACCATTAATACAGAGATTATGCGAAAGTGTAGCGATTTTTTGTTAGTTGGAAAATCCATTCATAAACAAGCCATGACATTGACACAATTGTGACGAACAATTGAAATGCAGCGATGAAAATGATTAACATATTAATTAGATGATGATAAAATAAATTAAACTAGGAAGAAAATACGTTTCATTGTATGTAAAATATTATTTATTATGTATACGAATTAGTTAAATATCTATTTATGGTTATTTCACTAGTGGTATTTAAGATTCTAGCTGTGTAATGTAATAGTAATATAACTGTTATTACCAAATATTACTGTACTAGCTTTTGCCGCGACTGCGTCCGCGTGGAATAGTGACTTCCGGCAGATTTTTGGTTCTTCCCACATAGTTTCCGTTCTTGCGGTGTTTTCAAAATGGTCGAGTTCCCGTAGAATTTTCAGGATAAAACCTATGTTTTTTTTATTCACAATGAAGTACTCTTAACCAACAACATATTTATTTGAATAAAGATTAATATTATTATATTGATACAACTTAAACAAATAATTTCGACCAAATTAGGTACCATAAAAACGGTTTTTGTGAGTTAATCTTAAAAGATAGACATATACTGTCGCGGACTGTTTTTTAGATCATTAAAAGAGCTATTATTCTTTCATACATATTTTTTGTGTATCTTGAACCGTTTACACGGCGCACGCAACGGAAGGCTTCAAAATGAAATAATTTCTCCCGTTTTTTACACATTTATCACTATATCTTTGCTCCTATTGCTCGTAGCGTGATGTTTTATAGCCCACAGCCTTCCTCGATAACTGGACTATCCAACACAAAAAGAATTATTCAATTCGAACCAGTAGTTTTGGAGATTAGCGCTTTCAAACGAACAAACAAACAAACAAACAAACAAACTCTTCAGCTTTATAATATTAGTATAGATTAAAAAAACAAGTCCTTAATGTATGTACTATAAAATAAATAAAAATAAATGACACTGCCATATAGTATGTTTATTTATTAAATTTATCTTTTCTCGCTGGCCTTTGTACACAGATTATATCCTAAGTGTGATATCAAAACGGTTCTGAAACGTCAGTTAAAATACCACATGTGTTCTATGTAGTTATTTATTACCAACCCTCAATACTAATGTTAATTCAAAATATATAAAATGTTTTTTATGTGCTGAAGGATATTTAAGGACTCTTAAACCCATCCTGACGTTGTGAAAAACAAAAAACTAGATTTGCAGTAATAACAAACTTATTCGAAATGAAACATAATTTGCAAATACGGTGATATATGTTTATGTGAGACAAGAAGGGACCTTCTAATTTTTTCACTCGTAGATTGAATAGATATTAGGTACAGCACTTACCTCCATATTGTTTTAGATATTCAGGTAAAAATATGTCATTTACAGATAAATTTTTATTCATAGTATCCGGAATACACGTCATTTTAGGTATAGAAGTGCGTTGATTATCAAAATTTATGTTTTTAAGTATATGTATGTAGTATAAAAAAGTTTTTTCGGGAAACTTACCGGAAGAAGGCCGAAAGGCAGAAGTATCAGCTATCACATGTTTTCCAATATACTTAAATTATATGTATGTAGTACCTACAGCAAAAATTAAACTGATGATCATTGAGACTCAAAACTACTTACCTAATTAACGAGGAATTTACGGGTAGGTTAAGAATAGGTAAATAAAAGTGTAATGTATTAAGTGAAGTGTCACGAGTGAATATTCTCATATATAGATCCTTCAAATATAACTTTTAATTTTCGATACGTTCACCAAGGACTCAAACACTCTAGACAAATCTTCAAAAAATATTACGAACAACAACTAATCTTAAACTTTTCCTAATATTAGACTTGTACAATAATGCTGCCATTAGATAAATGTTTACCATTTCCCACAACTCTCCCTGTATGTGAGAATGAGTACCGAGGGTCTAGTCTGTCCGTGATCACGGTTGCTGTAAAGTAGCCGAAACGTCGGGAGTAGGTATGTAGTTTATAGTCAAAAATAAAAAAATCGCGTAGTAAATCCGAAAATATTAGTTTCATTTAAATTAGTAGTCGCGAAAAACTTAGATCCCATTATGAGTAACGAGGGCTTAGTCATTCCACATAAACTTAAATCATATCCTTAGCCTTCCAAAACTGCGTAAATTAACCGAGACATAATTATTAATAAGAAAATAAGAGTCATTTAAAGATAGTTTACATTTTATACATCTTTATATATATAATTCTTCTGTGATGTGTATGTCACTGAACTTCTTTCAAACGACTGGACCGATTTTGATGAAATTTTTTGTGTGTGTTCAAGGGGATCTGGGAATGGTTTAGATTCAAAATTTGGTCCGCTGGACAATGTTTTTTAATTATTTTTTTATTTATTAGTAGTTGTTGATACAAACGTTTTTTTTGACATTAGATTTGACAACTTACTAATATGTCAATCATTCTGTCGCACTTCAAAACACGGAGATTTATGGCTTTAATAGGTAAACTCCAAAAATATAAATAAAAAAACGTAACAGATTTTTCTTGATTATAGGGCAATACGAAGTTCGCCGGGTCGTCTAGTATACATATAAAAGAGTTCTGGTTTATACAAATCACAAATATGAGAGAAATAATTTAGCAACTTGTTGCATGAACGGCATATTTTAAAGGTTTGGTTTGTTTCGAATTGACTAATGCTGTTACCCCTAATGGCTTTCACAGCGTCACCGAGAGGGGTGGGTGGCCTTGATGGGACCGACCCGATTTAATTCGGTCCCAAGGGTGCCTCTAAGAGGCCGGACCTCGGCTTAGGAGGTCGTTGTAGTGGAGGGATTGGTCGGACGATGGAAGCCGGTGTGTGTTTGTGGTGTCTGGTGTTGTGTTGGGGTTGTTGTCTGTATTATCTGTCGTGATATTGTCGTCAGGGTTTAAGAAGACTTCTTTGGGACGCCTCTTACATATCGGGGATATTTTGAAGGAGCGCGAGGGGTGACAATAAAAAGACTTGATGTTACTTAACATAATTGCAGCGACTATGGCTTATTAGATATTTTTATCTTGAAAATATAATCTCTTTAGAAGTTCTTAACTTTTCTCGAAAACTTAAAAAATAAAGCTTTTTGGGAGATCCAATGCAAGCTGTATGTATTTAGAGCATAAAATGAGAAATAAAGAAATAGTTGCAGAGTGACACAAAACTAAACTAGACTTGTTGATACATTTCACTTGGTTCTACCGGAATCATTGTTGCTAAAAATTATAACGCATAACAAATGGTATAACGAGAGCAAATGAGAAAAATAGTTTAATATAAAATTTAAAAATTTCTTATAGGGACTTATCTGCAGACCAACACTATCGGACCTTTAACTTTTACAATAAATGTGTTGGAAAGTGTTAATATAACAAAATCAACTCAAGGGACCAAAAATATGTATCTGCGATAGATAATTAAAACAGTGAAGATTTATCATTCCATGTATTCAAGGTGCGTGTGTCGGGTCCATCGTTGTAGTGAGAGGAGCTTCAACAGTGACTGGGACTTGTGACCCAGGTGTAGGTTTAAGGGACCCTATCTAACGCGTTAAACGCTCACCTCCACCGTACAAGCTCCTCTATATATGCAAAAATTTACGTTATGTAAGGTAGCTTAGAATAGAGACAGAATAGTGATGAGGTTTTAGTGAAATAATTATTAATTTATCTTAAGAGATGCTGGCTAGAGGAGTTCTTACTGTTAATAGCAAAGACTTCAAGAGGAGAGATTAAGAAGAATAGAATAATTATTCTAAAAAGGTAAGGAGCGTTCATGAGTTACCCAAGAAACAAATCATTTATTAAGCTGAGTACATAGTGAGAGGAAATGTAATTTGTATTTTATATCTTACTAGCTTTCCATCCGCAGCTTCACCCGCGCGGAGTTCGGTTATATCTCGTTTCCCAGAGAACCTTTTAAAAGTCTGTGATAAAAACTATCCTATGTTCTTTCTCAAGGTCAACTCTATCTCTGTACCTAATTTCTTTAAAATCAGTTCATTGGTTTAGTCGTGAAAGCGTAACAGACAGAAAAACAGATAGAGTTACTTTCGCTTTTATAATATTAGTAGGGGTTACCTACTAGGGCTGACTTCTAAGTACGTTCCAAGAATGAATTGATATTAGTTCTGTACAGGCCCAAGTCTTTTAGTAAGTTGTAGAGAGATTTAGTTCTTTGCTTTCTTACCTATTTCGAGTTAGTTCGTTAGTTAGCTCGTAATATTTATTGACCTTAATGGTATGGTCTTTGGGGATGTTGGTTTCCCAAGGAAATTTTTCATTTGTTCAAGAGTGCTGGAAAAGGTAAACCATTCTTACTACCAATATATAGAAGAATTTGATTTAATCTCATTATTTTGTATCTTGTATAACAAGACATTGAAGTTGTCGATTCTTCATTGTTTTTCTTATTATCCTGAAAAAAATCTTTACAGCCGTAGCTGAGACGTTTCTCGTGAAACATTGATCATTTATTGTGGCGGTCGCATATTTTTTTTATTCAACAGCCATTTTTTTTACAAAAAAAAAAAACAAAACCACAAGCTTCTCTTTTCTTGTGTTACATTCATATAAACAAGCAACCGCCTTTCAAAAATATGCACTGACTTCGTCAAAAAATATTTTTTCCGCCACTATTCATTCTTTTAACGGTCGATGTTATTTTTTTTTTTCATCATATATATATTTTTTTCATTACACCTAAGTCAGTAACACGCGACTACAACTAATAATTACAATTTACATATAAAGAATTAATGTAAGAAAACAAAGCTGATGCAAACTTTATGGAGGCGACTGAGAGTTTATAATGGGGGGAATATATTTGATAATATATTAAAACTTAGATAGTATTTAAAATTAATCTTTCATATAGATTATAATGCAAACATTACTCTAATAATATTGATCATAAATCATTACATCTTTACTATAAAAACATATTTTCAACAGTGTGACATCAGCTTAATAATGAATTAATTTCTACCCCCCATCATAATATCAGTTAGCTCCATAATCACATATAATAAAATCTATTTAAAAATACATCTACACGAACACTCAACAATACAAAAATCAAACTTAAACCGACACGCCCTTAATATAAGTAACAAATAAAAATCGTTTTTTACTGTCACGTCTACAGTTCGATACTGTCAAACTGACAGTAAGATCGACTACATCGCGCCAATATAAATATATTACAAAAAAATATTGAATAAAACATGTACCGCTGTACGTACAGATTTCAAATATAAATTAGTCACAATGAAATATTATTTTTGTTTAACCTTATAATATACATTTCAGAAAATAAACTCGATTGTACTAGATCTCGCTCGCTTTCTCACACATTTTAAAGTTATTAATAGTATTCATTAAGTACTATGGAAGCTTTAGTGTATAACCCGCCACGCGCGACCCGGCATATATATTATTGCTTTCATGAGGTATATAATATATGAAACGCTTCGAATAGCTTTAATCTAATCTTAAACTATGCTATATATGTATAAATTTCAAATCACTAGCGGTTTTCTAAACTATACATATATATGTATATATCTACCCTACATATATAATATATTCTCAATCCTAATCAATATAGTTGTAGCGAGCGTATATATATTTTTTTAAGAGTTTCGTTCGAAATGTATATGTTATATATTAATTATTAAAACTTCCATATTATAGTATAAAGTTTTCTTTTAGTATCGTACAAGTATAGTTTACATTAGTGTAAACAGGCGGTAACTAGATAGTATAAGGCTTGTGTGTGCGTGAGGGCAGGCGGGCGGTTCTGTTTCCGTATCCGGACCTCTGGGTGTTGTTTCCGTATCCGGAGCTCCGGTTGTTGTTTCCGTATCCGGTATCAACGTCAGCGCCTCCAGGAGCGATGCTCTTCATCATCTTCGTCCTCATCCAAACGGGCTGGCCTCTGTTGATATATATATAAGTGATGAGAGATCATTATTGGTGGTTAATAAAATTATCAAACACTATATTAAAATTTTTGTTAGTATGTATATATGTATTATCTCAAAAACGAATGAAATGGTTCGAGTATATTTTATTAATATTATAGAGCTCATTAAAGATTTCGTTTTTATTTTATTACAATCTTTATGAAATATATATATGTATATCAAAAGATAACCTTGTTACAATCTATTTTCAAGTATAAAATCTATAGAATGATTGTACGAATGAATGATTAATAATTATAAGCTGACCCTAAACTCAAAAATACCAAACAAAAATAGCATTTCGACTCTCCAAATTGGTCAAATGTAATTTAAGTTACACCTTATACTTTATTAGAATTTCCATCTATACTAATATCTATTGTTCTGAACTTTATATATATATATATATATATACTAGAAGACCCGGCGAACTTCGTATCTCCCTATAATCAAGAAATATCTGTTACGTTTTTTTATTTATATTTTTGGAGTTTACCTATTAAAGCCATAAATCTCCGTGTTCTGAAGTGCGACAGAATGATTGACATATTAGTTAATTGTCAAATCTAATGTCAAAAAAACGTTTGTATCAACAACTGCTAATAAACTAAAAATAATTAAAAAAACATTGTCCAGCGGACAAAATTGTGAATCTAAACAATTCTCAGATCCCCTTGAATACACACAAAAAATTTCATCAAAATCGGTCCGGTCGTTTGAGAGAAGTTCAGTGACATACACACTCACAGAAGAAGTATATATATACATATTTCATACCGTGACATCCTTCGTCTCGTGAGTTGAGTCTCCGTTTAGCGCGGGCGCTGCAAGTGGCTTGTTATTCGTTACCCACGTGATCTGAAAATAGTTTTGTTATATATTATATCTATTTAGATATATAAAATAATTGACATAAATATTTTTTCAGATCTATACAATAATTTCTAAATGTTTTTCGTTATAAATATTATGAATGTTTATTTTAGATAATGACACGTTAATGCAGATTCAATTGCTAGTCATTAATTAATTATTAATTATAAATATATAGAGCGATCATTTATTAGTTTGTTCTAGTTAATATAAGTTTATTTAATACCGGCTTTATAAGGCAAGCATATTCTTCAATGATTTTGTTAGAAATGCGCATAGAGGTCCCCCCCTCTCTCCTTCTAAAGATTGATTTGTCATATAAAGTATATTACGTTTGATTTTAGCTGAGCTTTGCATTTGTGCGAGTATATGGATAGTGTAGGTGTGATGTCAAATTTTTGTATGCCACGTTCTTTTCTAGGTTTTAACCAATTTATTTTGCTTCTACTCCGCCCCGCACTTTCCTCATTTCACCCCTTGTACTGGTAGCAACGTCAAATGTTGAAAACGCAATGTCAAGTGAAGAAGAATTTATAATTTTTTCGAAATTTTTACTAATTAATAATTTTTTATTCCCATAATATTTCCATCTGACCTTTACAAGTTTTGCTTATTAAATTTTTAATCTAGATAAACTCTCGCGCTTATGTTATGTATCTATTTAAAATATAATAAAATTTTATTCTTAAAGTTTTTTGTCTAACTCTACTTTTACTTTCACTCACACCAATGGCAAGCTGAGTTTAAGTCTAACGGACTATACTGGCTTTAATAGACATCTATATTCTTTGACGATTCTGTCACAGTCCTAGGTCTGTACGTGTGTGTGTATGTGTCTGTGTGTGGAGCTCCCCCCTCACCCCTCATAAGGATGATTTGTCATATACAATAGCGACTTTAGTAGACATCTATATTCTTTGATGATTCTATTAGACTCCTCTCTCTATATATATATATATATATAAGTCTGTGTGTGTGTGTGTAGCCCCCCTCACCGAGAGCGTCCTATCACTATAGTTCCTCGCCGCGTGCAGCGCGTGCTCGGCGTGCTGGCGCGCCCGATACTGCACCACGAGCTCCGGCACCGACAAGTTCACTTCCTTGCCTGTGATCTCACCGAATTGCTGTAACACACATACGAACTATTATTAATGGGTATTAGTTTAATTAAGTAATGGTAACAAGTCGTTATAAGGACTTCGTTTAGAACTGTGTATTCGCCGGGTGGCGATCATTGGTGACGGATCTAGATTAGACGTCAGCCATATTGTTTTCCTATTTAGCATAAGTTTGTAATTTGCATATCGTTTAAATTGTTGGCTAAAAACACTTTACGTGATACTGATTTCTTTTTTCTTTCATTAAAATTCCACATCAAACACTACAACTATATCAATAATATAAAACTTGGTAAAGTATGCATGTTCGTATGTATGTGTGAGCGTGTGCTTCTGTGTCTATTTCTGTGTGTCTGTACTCTATACTTGTGTCTCTCTGTCTGTGTATATAATTGTGTGGGTTCGATTGTTTATCTGCGCTTGTGCATCTGTCTGTGTATGTATATGTGTCTCTGCTTGTGTGAATATCTGTAAGAGTGTATCTGTGTTTGTGCGTCTCTGTCTATGTCTGCCTGTGTGTGTGTGTGAGCGTGTGATTATGTATATGTGCTCGTGTGGATACGTCTGTCTGTCTGTCTGTGTTTGTGTACTAACCGCGAAGTGCGCCAACAGAGCGTCGAGCTCATCCGGTTCGAATCCTGATACAAGCAGCGCCCTCGGCCGGTGGTCCACGGACTGATTGACGCTGAACACCTTCGACGTGCGGGAGAAACGCATGGCCGGGTTGAAACGACCGCCCCTGAATACAAACATACCGTTATATACATACATACATATATATATCTATATGAAAATAAATTAACAACAATCTATATAGGACAGATAGATTAAATTTTACCTTCCATGAAACTGAAATAGAACTAAAATGTATTGAATATCTGTATTTAATAGAATTTATATATATTTATTTAGTGGTGGCCTAGTGGTTAAAAGGCCCGCCTCTCATGCATGAGGCCGCGGTTTCGAAACCTAGCAAGTACTAATATGATTTTTCCGAGTCATATGTACTTTATAAGACTATTTAGACACCACTGACTGATGAAGGAAAACATCGTGAGGAAACCTGGAGTTATAGTTTCACAATTATAAGTATGAAATCGCCAACCCGTCTTGAGCAAACGTGTTGATTAATGCTCTAAACTACTCCATGTGAGAAGAGGCAGCTGAGTAGTGGGCTCTGATAGGCTGATGATGATATAGGATACAATTCGACATAAAACCCTCCTATTAGATTGCCGGGTTGAAACCGTACACTGTATATAATATCAACTCCATAAAATCAAATCTTTTATATTTTATATTCGTATTATTTGTGACATTAAATTTCTTTAAAATATACTATATGACTAAATAATAATGAAGATTTAACCTTTTAAATTATTTTAAGAGACTGAACGACTTTTTTTGGGTATATATACCAACATACTGGATTAAAATGTCTATATATTATAAAAAAATATATATAAACATATGTATATTGATGGGTCCTATGTATAAATGCCAATGTAGTAATGTAGCAATTTTAATTTTTTTGCTTTAAACACTTCATAATATTGTATTCTACAACATCCATTTAAAAATGTGTATTTGTTGGTGGAAAGACTTAGTTTGTATTGCAGTAAAAAGCTTGTAACACACTTTTTAGCGTATAAGGGCTTTTATACATTATTTAAAAAACTAGTTGGTTTCCAAAAAAAGTTAATCAATCTTAAATGACGTACATGTATGTCATAGTTGCTATACAAAGTTTCAAAAGCATCAGTTGTATGTACAAGATACATTGAAATCAAACTTAAAACGCCTCTACTGAAAAATTGACATTTTGCACATCGGCCTTTATACATTCGAGCCATCAATATATGTATGTATGTTTTTTGTTCCCTATTATACTAACAATGTTTAAAGTAACATGACTCACCATGTTCATCATATGTTTACATAATATAAAATGATTAGGTAAATTAAAATAATATATGTATAACAATATACAGCTTACAACTTAAAACATTCTCATACAAATTTTCTATATACTAGAATATTCCTATAAAAACTTAAGGAATATTCTAAATATATATATAAAGAAAAGTATCAAATTAAATATTTCTATAAAACTATCATTAATTTTCATAATTTTGATTTGTTCTAGTGAAAATAAAAAACAAGCCAAGCAAAAAAACTTGCTATAAATGATTTTAGAACTTAATAATGATGTAAATTAAACAATATATATTTCAAACGTTCGTCTTACCTAATCTTTCTCTTCACAATTCGGTAGCTTGTTGTATAGAATGGGAAAAATCTGACATTAAATTAATGTAGCGAAAAACATACTATGTAACTCTATGTAATATTATATCCTTGCCTTAGTACAAGTTTGATACGTGAAGACTTACAGTTAGTAGTTTTTATAAACTTGAAACTTTAGGTTTTGTGTTCAAAGATACAAACTTGTAATAATTGTATTGATATTAATTATAAGATATAAAAGTAATCAATTTATTACATAGATCAAATTTTTCTATTAATAAACAAACTAGTAATTCTATAGATAATAAAAACTACGCAAATTTTTTAATTAAGAAGTGAATATAATTTTATGTCATCAAAACTACCCTCATATTAAATTCAAAAAACACTTGTCAAAAATATCTATATCCCAGTTTTTAAACTAGTCAAATATAATCCATAGTATGTTATATATATAACATACTATGTTCCCTGTATATGTCTGTATGTACGTATTATTTTCTTATATATAGTATCTACCTATTAGTCCTTCTAGGAGCGAGCGCGGCCGCCGCCCTTCTTAAAGCCGCTATACGCTGAGACAATTCTGACACGTCTTGACCCTCCTAGGGAAATGATGAAAGAAAAATAATATCAGTATATACAAACAAATAATTGATTAATTATTAATTGATTAATTTAAAGAAGCAATCAAACAGTGAAAAATTTAACTCAAAATATAACAATTGTGTAATTTAAGTAATGAAACATATAAACAAATAATCAATGACTTAACTAAATTAATAAAAGCATCATGAATTCAATCAATCAAGCATTCATTCTGACAATAATTTATTAAAATTAATATTATTGTACTTTTGAATTTTGCAAATTAACTAGAGGGAAAATCATATGACCGACTTGTTATTAATTTTGTATGCATGTATAAGTGTGTGTGTATGTTTGTATGTGTATATATGTATGTGTATGTGTGTGTATGTGTTACCAACCTGTTGTTTCGTTATTATGTCTAGTTCTGCATCCAGTATCTCCTTCTGCGCCTCTTGGGCCGTTTTCGGTTTCTTCACATTAGCCTGAAAGACAGACAGACCGTATTAATTATGTATATATAATAATCATATTTCAAGTTAGTGATTAGCACAAATGCATTTTGTACAGCGCACCCAATGAATGCTTAATTATTTATATGACAGACAGATGAAACTTATCATTCCATGTATTCACGGTGCGTGTGTCGGGTCCATCGTTGTAGTGAGAGGAGCTTCAACAGTGACTGTGACTTGCGACCCAGGTGTAGGTTTAAGGGACCCTATCTAACGCGTTAAACGCTCACCTCTACCGTCCAAGCTCCTCTCTCTACATACAAATGATACATTTTGTCCCATATGTATGTATGTATGTTTTGTTGATTAAAACTTATACCTTCTCATAGTTTCTTTACACTACTTCTCGTATCTAACATAATTTTATCTACTCCTAATTAAATAATCTACTTTATAGTAACCTAATTAACTAATTAGAGTTTATACTTTTATGAACCGACTTCAAAAATATATAACAGAGAATTTGGTGATCATATTCATATTTTTAATGAAAAATTATATCTTTTTTATGTTTGAAATTGAATATTAGTATATCTTACAATATTTATAGAAGATGGAGAATAAATACCTACAATTAAGAAGATTATTTTTTCATTTAGTGATCCGGTAATCCCTACTAATTTATAAATGCGAAAGTAACTGTGTGTGTCTGTCTGTTACGCTTTCACGCCTAAACCACTGAACTCATTTTAATGAAATTTGGTACAGAGATAGAGTTAACCTTGAGAAAGAACATAGGATAGTTTTTATCCCAGACTTTTGAAAGGTTCTCTTGAAAACGCGATATAATCGAACTCAACGCGGGCGAAGCTGCTGACGGAAAGCTAGTTTTGTAATATTTGTATATTGAAGTCGGTTAGTTATACTACTAATAATTTTAAATCAATTTTTACATGTTTTATATATTAATTTAAACTAAGTATACTATATAAATGTTCTGTATATTCGTTTGTACGCGCATGCGTATGCCATGCTAATATATTTTCTTGTTTGATTAAATAATTTGATTTTCCATACATATAATGACACTCGTACAAGCTTTGAAACCACGACATATAGATGACATGCCACACAAACGATTATGATGTATAGGGACGTTACGGGTCTACCGTATACGGTAACGTGTCGTAAAAATGATTTACTGTAAAACGGATGACTTGACATTTTGTAAAAAGAGTCACAATTAATTATGATTTTAATGTAAACCAAAACAAAACATTAGTATGACGAATTAATGTTAAGTGGAAAGCATATATAGTCGGGGATAGTGCAAATCCTCGTAACTAGCATTGTATAATTCCACTTTATATACATTGGAAGCAAATTATCAGAAGAAAGTTTGAGATGAAATATTTTCTATATTAACGACTTATAAGGTATTTTTTTCAGAATTAGTGATAAACTAAACACTAAATAATAATATAGAAAATATTTCAGTTCAAACTTTCTTCTGATAATCTGCTTCCAATGTAGATACGCGGAATTATACAATGCTAGTTACGCGGATTTGCACTATCCCGGCTATATATATATATTATCCGTAACGTCCCCATATGTATGTATGTCTGTCTGGTACGTGTTAATCGTTACGTCACGTCCGGCATGTGCATGTCAACATGCGCATGCGCCGGTACCTGTAGTTGTAGCCGCGCCAGGGACCGGGCGACCGTATCCTCCTGTTTAAATCACTCTGTTGTATGTATATGTATACACTATGCTAATACTCTGGGTTCGTTTGTGCTCATTTAGAATGTTTTCTATACAACGATCGTCATATAAGAGTTAAAACTTATAATATACAACTTGTTCATATTGGGATTATAAAAATAATACTTATTATATATTTAATAACTAATTTATCGCCATTTGTGTCAGTTACATGGTCTATACTCTGTACGTGAGTTGTGTCACACCGACATATACAAATGGACATGCCGTACACGTATAATCTGCAGTAATTTTTCGGCTTGAAAAGAGTGAGAGAGATGGCCTATGCTTTCGGTCTAGCACTATCTCTTTCCTCATAGATGATTGGGGCTCAGTTTTCATGACAAAAATTATCCAGAAGGGGCTCATAACGATTTAAGTACGGTACTATTTTAGCGAGATAAAGATAGACCGAAACATCGTTTCCTCTCTTTCTCATGCCACAATTCTCATATCTAAGGCATGTCCATTAGTATACAGTAATACCCCGCTTAACGCGACCCCGTTTTGTGCAGTTTCACTATAACGCGATTTTCAAAAATTTATTCAGGTTGGGACATTGCAGAATATAAACAATAAAGATGACCGTGTCTTGAACGTGTGTCAAAATATTAAAAACAGTGTTTGGTGTTATGAATGTATTATACAAGAACGTAAACAAAACGCTACCCAAAAGACTACATGTATTTTTTCGTAAAAAATAGGAGTACCTATGTATTGTATAGTGTTCTTAGAATTAATGTGATTGATTAAAATGATTTTTATATTGGTGTATTAAATTTTGACTGTGTTTAATCATAAACCTCGATATACGCGAATTTCAGTTGGCGCGATTTTCTTCGGAACGTATTCCTCGCGTAAAGCGGGGTATCACTGTATGTTCGTTATGTGTCATTATACACTATCTACTGTTCTTATACAGTGCAATAATCACCTGCATCTGTGCTCTCATTCCATTATAAGCAACCAATTGTTCTCTAAGTTTCTCTATACCGTCGTGTGAAGCTTTTATAGCGTCCATTAAAGCAGTTCTTTGCTGTTCTGATAGTCCACCGGCTTCTAACTTCTCAATCATTAATCTTTGCTGTCTTAGCTGTGACTGTAGCAGTTCCTGCGCGCGTCGATGATGTTCTGATAGTTGCCGAGGATTGGGACGAACTGCGGGAGTTTCGTTACCGTTTGACTGTTCTTTGGTATTCTGAAATTATAATGTTTTTATTTTATTTATTTTGGGAAATAAACAGTATTAAACAATCAATAAAAACGATACATACAAAAATAGATAAACCAAAAAGGTTCCACCGATTACAATTTTACTTGGAGCAAAATAATATGAGCAAAATAATGTTAAATATTTAATTGTATTTCCTATGGTTTTTATTACATTTCCGTTTTTTTGTTATACTGGTAGTTTTGATTTATATAATACTTAAATAAAACTAATATTTTCGAATTTTACTTCGCGTTTTTTATTTTTGATTACAAACTACATACTCCCGACGTTTCGTCTACTTTCCAGCAACTGTGATCACGGAAAGACGAGATCTAAAAACGCGAAGTATAATCCGAAAATATGTATTAGTTTTATTTAAATGAGTACTCGCGAAAATCTTAGATCTCATTGTATAATACTTATTGCTGTTTTATATTCTAGCAAGATAAGTATAGTTTTAATTAGAGATTAACCCATTTTTATACATATACTAGAAAACCCGGCGAACTTCGTATCGCCCTATAATCAAGAAATATCTATTACAATTTTTTTATTTATATTTTTGGAGTTTACCTATTAAAGCCATAAATCTCCGTGTTTTGAAGTGCGACAGAATGATTGACATATTAGTTAGTTGTCAAATGTAATGTCAAAAAAAAACGTTTGTATCAACAACTACTAATAAATTAAAAATTTATTAAAAAAACATTGTCCAGCGGACAAAATTGTGAATCTAAACCATTCCCAGGTCCCCTTGAACACACACAAAAAATTTCATCAAAATCAGTCCAGTCGTTTGAGAGAAGTTCAGTGACATACAGTGTGTATGAGACATGTACACAGAAGAATTATATATATAAAAATTATGTAAGGAACAAACCTTTTCAACAGTTTTGTTGTCAGCCGTTGCTTTCATATTTTCTCTGTTGATGAGCACTTTGTTGTGTGACATTGGATGTGAGTTCTGTCTGTCCGTCTGTTTGTTCGCCTGTTGTCCCGGTGGGGCTGTGTTCTCTTGCTTATTCTGTGGAAAATGGAATAATATATAATAATGCATCTACTTGCGGAATAGGTATTATTATAACATACTACATATCATGTACTTGAGTACTGTTTCATAAACTAACATGAAAACAATTTGGAAATTTTCATATAAAAAAAATGTATTAAAATTACGATACTTTGAAATAATGTGTCGAATCTACTATGTAGGTCTTTTGTATATATGTCTCATTGTATAAGTATACTTTCTTAATGACTAGAACTATGATATAGCCTATGTCTGTTAATAAATATATGTATATATATGTATGTATTGTAATTCTCACCTCAGGGTTGTGCCAAAACACTTTAATGAATCTATTATTGAGAACAGCCTCCGTACTCTTGTAAGCCACGTTAGCCTCCGTTGGGTTAGAGAATGTTATAAGAGCCGCTTCTGGATCCCCCTCAAAACAGACCTGCATACATTAATATATTAATTATATATATGTTTACTAATTATTATTAGAGTAATTATATTGGTAATTACCTTATTGTTATGTAAATAGAGTAATTACAATGTAATCATAATGACAATTCATTACATTCTTGAAATATCAATAGTAAATAAATTCCATTGTTCATAAAAAGATAATAGTTAAAAAAGAAATTGAAGGGTCAATTAATAAGTATATTATGAAAAATACATTTATAGTTATCTGTTATTTACATTAGTGTGTTGTTAATAATATTCATTTGTTTATAATTTGTATTATTTTAAAACTTATTTATTTATATGCACTATTTTAGTATTTCCAAATTCTATTCCAAGGTAGGTAACCTATAGAAGAGCTTTATTAAGTGATGTACTATGTCAGTGTATAAATAAAACTTTATATTTTCAGATTTCCTAAGTTTGTTTTCACATTTTAACTACACACTCCCAATGTTTCGGTAAATATGCAGAAATGATCATGGACAGACGAGATGAGAGTATGTTTGTCAAAATTATAAAAAACGCGACTTAAATCCGAAGAATTAGTTTAACTTAGATGAAATTACTAGTGAAAGTCTTAAATATAATAAAGTTATTATAAACCTTGATATTTAAGCTACAATTTTCTATAGCGTGCTTAAGAATACATCCTTATTATTATATATTAATAAGTATATTGACCTGTATATTAACAATTTTGCCGAATTTACAGAAGTGATTGTTCAGATGCGTTATGTCGTTCAAACCGCGAGGCACTTTCTTCACTTCTAAAGAACAGTTTGCGTTTGACTGGAAAGGGCGTGGCGGACCTGAGGAAAAATAAGATTTATCGTATATATATATATAGTATATATATATATATATATATATATATATATATATATATATATATATATATATATATATATATATACTATTAGTTAAAACACTATATGAAATAATTCAATTAAATAACTTAACATATTTAGAAGAATCACATCTCATTAATGTTAATAATTCTTTCATTAAGTACATATATACTTTCTATTTGATTTTTTATATAAATATATACTTCAATATTGGTTTTTAATACTCTATATTTGATTAATTAAACTAAAATTCATACTTGTAAAGAATATCTATTCACCAAGATACCTCTAACAATATCTCTTATATATTTAAAATGAGTTTATATGTATGTTCAGACACAACTAATATGTTTAAAGATAGTTTATATGTAATGTTTACAATTATTTTTATATATTACCTAATCTGTTGTATTCAAATGTCTTTTTGGGTGGAGGGGGATGTCTTGGTGGGGGCGGCATAGCTGCTCCTAATGGGGGCTCGTGACGGACACTGGAAATGATAAAAATTGTTAATATACATATTTATTATAATTAAAAATGTATTGGAAAATGAGAGTTTTCGATTGGATGTTTCTTTTTCTAATAATTATATAGTTTTGTATTTCTTTCTATAAAAATGTATTAACTTTTGTAATTGTTATCTTTTTGAATAAATTGTGTAAAAACACCTATTTAGTATAAAATTTTTAATTTTTGTACTGTATGGATGTTTTCACATCTCTATAGAAATCTGTAGCAAATTAATAAATACATTTTGGTAATTTCTTTTACTTAATAATTAATATATATTTATATAAAAATAATACTTATTAGTGCATATCTTTATCTATATACAATGCTGTAGATATAAATACATTGAAGAGATTTTTCATGAAATGCTCGTCATCAGCCTATCAGAGCCCACTGCTGAGCCTCTTCTCACATGGAAAAGGTTTGAGCATTAATCACCATGCTTGCTCAAGACGGGTTGGTGATTTCAAACTTATAATTGTGAAATGCTCACAAAATACTTTCATTATATATATTTACCGTGGTATGGGCACCAATTCCCGGGGCGCGAGGTGGTGCGGCGGCGGTGGAGGGGGGAAAGCGCCCACCACTCCGCCAGACCAGATGTCCGGAGCGGCGGGATTGTATTCTGGAAAGGTGGGTAATATTTATCAACGAATATTCAATATGCCTATCATCATTGGCCTTTTCATCTATTACAGATGATTTGATTTATGAGAGTGTGTGATTATAATAGACACTATACGTTAATAGGTTTGACACTATTTTACAATATTAATTAAGTACATTAAACAGAGATGAAACTTCTCATCATTCCATGTATTCACGGTGCGTGTGTCGGCTCCATCGTTGTAGTGAGAGGAGCTTCAACAGTGACTGTGACTTGTGACCCAGGTATAGGTTTAAGGGACCCTATCTAACGCGATAAACGCTCACCTCATTGTCCAAGTTCCTCTCTCTAGCAAATTTGAAAAGAACCTACTAGGGCTGCCTTCGATGTACGTTCCAAGAATTTATTTATGTAAGTTCTGGACAAGCCCAAGTCTTTTAGTAGTACTGAGTTAACAATCCATAGATTTAATCGTAATATATGTCCAAGGCGACATTTTTTCAGTCTAAAACAGTTTTCTACATTCTTTTACACACCATCAAACTTATGTCGTGTCAATTTATGTATGTGAGTCTCGGTAAGTCTGTATGTCTGTAAATTTTTACTTTCGCTTATATATATCAGATGTCTCTCTGTCTGTGTGTGTGTATATCGTACCAGCGAGTGCAGGAGGTCCAGCCAGTACCCTGGTTAAGGCGGCGTCTTCCAACACTACAGGGTCCGCGCCGTGGTCCCACTCGCAGAGGTCGCCGCGCATACAGTAACCCTTCACTGTAAATGACAAAAACAATATTATTAACAATATTACATACCATATTTAATGGCTTGAAACAGTTATATTTCACCGTCTTTAAATATGAAATTATTATTTTTTAAATCAACACATCATATACACATTGAGTAGAAGAAATAAGAATATCTATTCGTCAATATTGATATCAAATACATATCATGAGTTTAAGAATCCATTCTAAAACAATTAATTATTGCTAATAAATTATTAGTAATAATTGATATTTTATATTGTATACAACACTATGTGGTAGAAGATTTAAAATGAAAGAATTGTAGGAAAATGACAAATACTTGAATCACTTAAATTACAAGACATGTATGATACTTCATTACATATTGTTTAGTAAATATATTTTATTTATTTAATATTTAATTGAAATATTGCTTATACTTATACTGAACTAAATTAATGACTCAGACATTAGTTAGTAGAAAATAACTATTTCAATATTATAACACTATATTACAACTGTGACTTTACTCATACATTTAAGTTATTTATATGAATATTTATGTTTAAATATTTGCTGTGTGTATTCTATATATGTTTTTAATTAAATTACACACAGACACACATACATATAACATAATATGTTCATACATACCATCAAAATCTCTGCATCTCCTCTTAAACACATCGGCATGCTCGATTCTTGTCTCATGTGGTGATATTGATCTGTCTCGGGACCTATAAATTAAATTATTGTTTCATTCATTTTGTTGTACAAACATCATGAGGAAATTAATTTCATATACAAAATTAGCGATTTTCGCTTTGTTGGTGAAATTAAATTACGTAATTGTAATAACTAATTACTAACTGTAACATATACATCTTTATCTTTATATATATAATTCTTGTGAGTGTGTATGTCACTGAACTTCCCTCAAACGACTGGACCGCTTTTAATGAAATTTTTTGTGTGTGTTCAAGGGGATCTGGGAATTTTTTAAATTCACAATTTTGTCCGCTGGACAATGTTTTTTTAATTAATTTTTAATTTATTAGTAGTTGTTGATAGAAACGTTTTCTTTGACATTAGATTTGACAACTAACTAATATGTCAATCATTCTGTCGCACTTCAAAACACGGAGATTTATGGCTTTAATAGGTAAACTCCAATAATATAAATAAAAAAACGTAACAGATATTTCTTGATTATAGGGCGATACGAATTTCGCCGGGTCTTCTAGTGTGTGTATATATATATGTATGTTTATGTCTCTCACCGTTCTCTATCCCTGGAGCGCGTGATCCTATCCCTGTGCTCTCTGTCCCTCGACATTCTTTCTCTTTCCATCTCCCTCAGAGGTCTCATTCTGTCTCTCTCCCTCTCCAATTCTCTCTCCCTAATCGGGACCGGCGATCTCGATCTGAAGATATATATTAAACATTAGACTAAACACATATATTCTTCTACCTGGCAATTTCCCAGCTTTAGCCAGGGCCTGCCTGACGTGTTGTGAATAGTTTTGGCTAATTGTTTTTACGACCGGTCGCCTGCCTGACATCAACCCTCTTTGGGAATGCATTAATCAGTGATGTCTAAATACTCTTATAAAGTACATATGACTCGGAAAAATCACATTAGTACATGCCAGGGCCAGGATCGACCCCGCGCCCTCGTAAATGAGAGGCAGGCCTTTTAACCACTAGGACATCACTGACTCTAAACACATATATTACATATTTGTATTTTAATATGATAAAGATACATCTTATTTAGGCACAAACCATTAAGTAATATATAACCATAATAATGACACAGTATTGTTCAATATTGTGCGGAGTGACAGGGACGTCATACAAATACGCAAGTTAATTGCACAGTAATTGCTTTACAAAAGAAAGACGTTACTCGGGATGTAGCCCGCAAGATAATTAACAAGCATATATCTTTATATATATATAATTCTTCAGTGAGTGAATGTCACGGAACTTCTCTCAAACAACTGGACCGATTTTGATGAAATTTTTTGTATGTGTTCAAGGGGATCTGGGAATGGTTTAGATTCACAATTTTGTCTGCTGGACAATGTTTTTTTAATTAATTTTTAATTTATTAGTAGTTGTTGATACAAACTTTTTTTTTGACATTAGTTTTGACAACTAACTAATATGTCAATCATTCTGTCGCCCTTCACAACACGGAGATTTATGGCTTTAATAGGCAAACTCCAAAAATATAAATAAAAAACGTAACAGATATTTATTGATTATAGGGCAATACGAAGTTCGCCGGGTCTTCTAGTATATATATAGCGCATTCAAACTATGTAACTGTAAGTATGATAGTATACCGTGATCTGGAGCCGTGTCGGTCGAGCGTCGGCGGGCTTCTGTTGCGATAACGACCGCGGGGAGACGGGGAGCGGGACGAACGTCTGTGGAACATACGGACATACATACATTATAATATATATAAAAGAAAGTTGGGTTAGTTATACTATTTATAACTCAAGAACGGCTGTTCGGATTTGGAGGAAGATTGGTGGAGAGATAGATTAGAACATAGAAAGGACATAGGATACTTTTCATATGATTGAAAAAAGAAAAACAAATACGTTGATCAAATCCAAAATTATCTTATCTACTGTCTTTAAAGAGGAACAGAGTACGCTCGGTCAGCTATACATTTCTATTCCTGAAAGTAACGCAGACAAAGTTGCGGGTAAAAACTAGTTTATATGTATAATTTTAGACGAAAATATTACAATCATTAAATAATATTATAACTATGTTATATAGTAATTTATTATATAATATGTTTTTTCTTATGATTTAATGATTTCCAGTTTGTAATGCCGGGAATCGAATCCGTAACACGCAATGAGAATTAATTTTCCTATGAGTCTATATACAATGTAAAACTATGAAATATTGTGATAAGTCGTCAAATTATCATAAATTACACGAATATTATGGTTAAAGCCATAGTTTTCAATCAAAAGAAAGATATAAAAAGAACTATTAAAGAGTTTTTTCAAACATTTTGCAAAATGTAAGATGTTTTTGTAAACACGGAATTTACGAGAAGAAAATTCAAAACGTTATGAATAATTAGTAATATTAAAATATCAATTAGATATATAATAAGACTCAAATCACTCCTCCAACAAAACAAAATAGTATTTTATTCATCAATTACAAAAATAATGAGATCAACATTACAATGTGATTCGAGCCTTATTTTTCAATATGTAAATATAAGGCTCAATTCACATTGCAATACTGATTTTTTTTTAATTATATGTAAGTATTTGTTAATACAATATTAATATTATGTATTAATGATCTTATAATCAACGGTTGGAATTAATTTGATGAAATTTGATTAGTATGAAATGTTAATATGTACTGAGAGAAAAAAGAACATATATTTGTGTAAAGTGCAAATCCTCGTAACTAGCATTGGATAATTCCGCGTATATACATTGAAAGCAGATTATCAGAAGAAAGTTTGAACTGAAATATTTTATATATTAACGATTACTAATTATTTTGTGTTTAATTTATTACTAATTGTGAAAAAAATACCTAAAAAGTCGTTAATATAAACAATATTTCAGCTCAAACTTTCTTCTGATAATCTGATTCCAATGTATGTGTATATATGCGGAATTATCAAATGCTAGTTACGCGGATTTGCACTATCCACGACGATGTTTTATTTATACATACATGCATAAACAATACCTGAAAACTCATTTGATATCAGATTTATATATTTATATACGTTTTTCTCTAAATACAATGTATTTATGTGAACACAGTTAGTGATGTACCGGTATATATCTATGTTAGTATCGTACCTAGCGCACCTTCGTCTAGCTCTTCGTTCCCACGACCTAGATCTACGACGACGGCGGTCCTCTTTATCGCGAGCCTGAAAAATACGTCAAACTATCAGTATTAACGTTAAACTATCAATATTACCCTTACTACTAGTCATCCTACTAATATTATAATTGCGAAAGTTTGTGAGTGTGTGTATGTTTGTTACGTCTTCACGCTCAAACGGCTGAACCGATTTTGATCAAATTTTGTATACAGGAAGCTTACGTCCAGGAATAACACATAGGCTACTTTACACCCCGGAAATCCGCGGGTACCACCGCGGGCCCAGCTAGTAGTCATATAATGGATGGTATGGAATTTAAAGTTTTGTCGTTCTTAAATTTTCGTACCTACGGTATTAACGTGGGTGTGCGAGTAAAATACTCTAAAAATCTATGTTTGTAGTCTGAATGTGTAAACTAATAGTAAGATAATAGATATAGAAAAAGTATTCAAAAAAAATCAGATACTATAAATTAATGATTTTTTTAAGCCATATCATCTATTTACATGTTAATTTTTATTGTTATTTTGTTTAAATTTCATAAATTTACAATATAATTATAACATAAATTACATCTATATTATCTCCCAAATCTACACCATCTATAAATCTGATAGATGAAAGAGATGACCTCTAAATGAACTATTGAATGGTCAACAATATATTTTAATTTTAATAGCATACAAGTATTCTTCTATATATATTTTACATACAAAGCCTGTTGGTAGTTTTTTGAGATATTTTCAACCAAATAAACTTGTATTTTTCATTATGTAGGCAAAACTAGTATTGTTTTGAATATTTATAGCTATATCATCATCAGCCTATCAGAGCCCACTGCTGAGAGGCCTCTTCTCACATGGAGACGGTTTGAGCATTAATCACCACGCTTGCTCAAGACGGGTTGGTGATTTAATATTTATAATTGGAAATCAAAGGTCCATGTTTCCTCACGATGTTTTCCTTCATCTGTCAGTGATGTCTAAATACTCTTATAAAGTACATATGACTGAAAAATCACATTGGTACTTGCCAGGTTTCGAACCCGCGCCCTCATGCATGAGAGGCCTTTAACCTGTAAGTTATCTATGTATATGTTTATATGTATATATACTAACAGAATCATTTCTTCTGTCTCTCCTTCTAGGTGCATCTACAGGTTCTTCTAGAAGTTCTGTTGGTAGCACCTGAAAATAAATATATTTTTTAATACAAATATATCAGAAATAAAAATATACTTATTTATGTATATTTTTATTTAATTCATTGAGGTTTTCATACTTCGTTAGATCAGTCTTAATATTGTAATGTAAACTCAACTAGATTAAGAAATAAGCACCAAAGTATCTTTATCTAATTTAGTATAGAAAGATTAGTTATATGGTTTTATTTTGACGAAAATATATTTTTACGATCTTATAGCTTTATAGTAAAAAAGCTTTTGTATTCTATGCATTAATTTTGTATAACTACAATAGTAATTTTATTATGTTTTGTACTTAAGTAAAAAGAATTAATTATAATAATTGATAGCTTTATCAAGCCTTATTATTTTGGATATTTCTGTCAAACAGGAATCGAACCTGTTACACTATTATTTTTAATGCTCATCCTCACATCCGTTTTAATACTTCTGTAGTACATTGCTTCAAGATTTAAACCTGTTACAAATTGGATATTCCTTTTTAAGAGTGACATATATGGTAAGTGGTAGATTTTAGCTGTGGTCAGTTACTACAGCTCGAACATGTTCTGTCTCGACCGGGGAAGTACACCCTCTCACTGAAGATCGGCGTGAAGTAGTCTTTAATGGATGCGTTTCTGATGAGTGAGAGAGACGGTTGATCTTTCTCTTTCCCACACTTTCCTCTCTCCTACAATCAAGGTTCGCAACTCATCCTCAACATCTCTTACGTTGCAGATGTCTATGGGGTAATGTGACTACCTTCCATCAAGCAGACCGTCTACTCATTTGAAACCTTTCTCATAATAAAAGACCAAGTTCTACCTTAACGAGAGTCTGCTCATGTTGTGGATGTTGTCTCATTCGAGGGACCACTACTCTATGGGGAGGTGAACGACGCATCGGAGGCTTCTCAGCAACCGTAGTAGGCGCTGTTGATACTGGAAATTAAATGTATAGCTGTTAATAATGATGAAACTACAAATATTATAGTATCCTACTAATATTATAATTGCGAAAGTTTGTGAGTGTGTGTGTATGTTTGTTAATTCTTCACGCTCAAACGGCTGAACCGATTTTGATAACATTTTGTATACAGGAAGCTGACGTCCAGGAATAACAATTACATACTTTACATCCCGGAAATCCGCGGGTAACACCGCGGGGCGCAGCTAGTGAACAAAGAAATCAGAAACTATACACTGTATTTAGTTTGACACGATAGAGTTGTGGTAGGCATTGTCTTGTATTTATTATATGTTATAATATTAGATTTTTGATTAATGTTATTTATGAAATCATGATGATATTATTTATAATACATTAAAATCTTCCCGCGACTTCCTCCCTTAAAATCGGTATTGTTCATTAAAACAATATTATGTTAACCAACTAGCAGCGACATCTATAGTGACTACAAAAATCATTATTTAATGATTCCGCTGTAAAAACACGGAATTTCGTGATAAATTCTAGCCTATCTCTCATTCTATAGTCTAAGCTACATCACTGTAAAGTTTCATCAAAATCCGTATAGCAGTTTTCATGTTAAAGAGCAACACACATACCCACAAGCTTTCTTCAATAATATTAACATGTTATATCACCATGGTTTTCTTGTTCGGGCTGTTTGTCAGGTTCTGTGGGCTCGGGCTGCGGTGACGGCTCCCGGGCCTCGCGGGGCTCCGCTGACGGCTTCAAGTAATCCTGACTCTCGAGGGACTTGAACAGCATGTCTACGAACGGCTTCGTCTCTGGAACGTGATATATACAATGGTAATTTTGGCGGGTAGGTTATAAAGTTATTAAATTAGTGACCCATTTTAATATAGCCAGGTAAATATTCTACACTAGCTTTCCGCCCGCAGCTTCGCCCGCGTGGAGTTCAGTTATATCGCGTTTCCCAGAGAACCTTCCAAAAGTCTGGGATAAAAACCATCCTATGTTCTTTCTCAACGTCAACTCTATCTCTGTACCAAATTCCATTAGAATCAGTTCAGTGGTTAAGGCGTGAAAGCGTATTACAGACAGACAGACAAACAGACAGAGTTACTTTTGCATTTATAATATTAGTAGGAATATATCTCATGGGTTCAATTATAACAGTTTACTTGTGGAACTAAAGGTACTATTCATTAAGTTCTCAAATGTATGTTTCGCGAATAATCATTTAAATCAAACCAATATTATCGTATTACTACATGTTTTTTTATAATTTTAACTACATACTGATGTTACGGTTACTTTGCAATGATCACTTGCAGACGAGATGTGAGTATGTAGTTTCAAATAATAAGACAACAGTATATTATACATAAATATCAGTTTCGGTTACAAATTGATATCAACTTATCATGATGAAGTGCATCTTTTGTTGAGATCTAAGATATTCACTAATATTCAGTCAAAATAACGATATAACGCGTAGTAATACGAAAATATAAGTTTCATATACATGTTGGTACCAATTTCTCATGATGAAGAGCTTTCTACTGTATGATCTACTCACCCTGTTGAAGAAACACATCCAACTGATCCAACATTCCATCCCGGAGTTCATCCAAGGACTTATCCTTCTTCACCAACGCGTACACATACTTCGCTAACGCCGCTGGATCCGCGTCACATCTGAAGATAATTTATTAATATAATTATATTATTCAATCATCATCATCATCCTATCAGAGCCCACTGCTGAGCCTCTTCTCACATGGAGAAGGTTAGAGCATTAATCACCACACTTGCTCATGCTGTTGGTGATTTCAAATTTATAATTTCAAATTATTTTAACCTCTAGGCTACCACCACAGTATTCAATAAACCTATATTAAATTCGTCATATATATTTTGTCTAAGTAACAAGACTGAATTATAGAGCCTAATATAACAAAGTATCCCTATATTATACTTGACATTATATTATGATTAAATAATATGGAACAAGTATAACTAATACACAACAATCATTAAGCATACAAATACTTTAATAGTTAAAATTAACTCATCTAATTTTTACAATAAAATCACAATTTATTTTAGCATATTTTTTATAATGTAACCATAGTATGAGCAGCTTCCTGATCTAATAATGTATTAGAGAGAGTTCACTTCATCACTGTAATATTAGTTTCAAATATTGACTTAAAATTATCTACACTAACTAGCATGTACAATACCTACACATATAATATATTTTGTTTATTTTTGTGTCTTTTTAGCTGCCTGATTATTAAGACTAGTATCAAGTATCAAGAAATGCTGAACCATTTATGATAGAAATTTAAATCGCAGGCAATGTCAGAGGGAGTAATATAGGCAACTTTTAAACAGTCATAAAACAAGGAAGCTAACAATTTGATTAGATACATACACTGTTGCAGTTAAAGGTGGCTTTTCAATATTATGTCTTATTAACCGTCTCAATTAATTTCCACAGTCACCAAGTCAGAATTTGATTAAAAGATGTTCAAGAAATCCAATTAAACCTCATAATGATAATAATATATATCTTTTAGTCAGTTAACGTGGGCAAAGACACTGGCAATAGTTAGTTATATTGTGAGCCTTATGTAAGTTTACTCTTTAACTCGATAAACTGTTCTATCATAAAGTTCTATTAGTATGAATATAGCCATTAAAAAGATTACTGATAGAATTTTTTCTTTAAATTATTATTATTATATATATAGCATATTATGAAATAACAAACATAAAATATGTTACAGATACATGAAAACTTACTTCATACAAAATTATCTTAGAAACGAGATTACATATTAACGGTGACACAACTGATAAAAAGTTCCGTAACTGATAAGGAATTGATGAAATATGTATGTGTGGACATTTTAGAGACAATTGCAATACAAAAAACTCTTATAAATTGTATGTTAAAATAATATATATACATACAATTTTTTTATTGTTTGCAAATAATAATTTTCTTATAAAGCTAAATTATCTTCAATTATTATAAAACTAGCTGACCCGGCAGACTTCGTACTGCCTCAATCAAGAAATAGATTATTTCTTAATAATTTTTTTTGGAGTTTACCTTTAAGCCATAAATCTCCGTGTTCTGAAGTGCGACAGAATGATTGACATTAGTTAGTTGCCAAATCTAATGTCAAAAAACCCGTTTGTATGGGAAATAGAAAAGCGCTGTTTTTAGGGTTTTCCCGGAAATTAATTTTTTTTTTCAACTTTTATACCTTCCCTGAACCTCAACGAACATTCAAGACTAAGATAAGATAAATCTGTTCAGCCGTTCTCGAGTTTAAGCAAAACTAAGGAACAGCAATCCATTTTTATATATATGTATAGATGTATAGATAAAAATAATAATATTTCTGATGTTAAAATGCCACCATCAAGTATGAAAATAGCTTAAAAATTATTATCAACGGATTCTAAAATTATATCACATACCAACACAGAGTTTATTTGAAATTAAACACAGAAATAGATTTCATAGCTTTGTGTGAGTCTTGTGCTAATTATACACACACCTACACACATATATATACATTTCTATATGTCCATACACACATATATAATATATATCTTCTTCTTCTACCTGGCAATTTCCCAGCTTTAGCCAGGGTCTGCCTTACATGTTGTGAATAGTTTTGTCTAATTGTTTTTACGACCGGCCGCCTGCCTGACATCAACCCTCTTTTGGGAATGCATTAATCAGTGATGTTTAAATACTCTTATAAAGTACATATGACTTGGAAAAATCACATTGGTACTTGCCATGGCCAAGATTGAACCCGCGCCCTCATGCATGAGAGGTGGGCCTTTTAACCACTAGCCACCACTGACTTATATATATAGTTTAATTAATTTTTTATTTAAACATATTATACTAAGCTATTTAAAAATATATATTATTTCTAAGGTATGTAATAGTTTATACATTTAATCCTATTAAAGTTTTAATTCCATAGACAAAGTTTTATAAAATGTATATAAAATAATAGTTTATATAGAATAAAATAATAATTATATAGAATTATATTTACCAACACTAATTTAATCTATAACTGGGACTTGGTTTAAATATCAATTAAAATTTCTTATAAACAAGATATAATTTTTACATGTAACAGACACTAATTTAGTTATGAATTAAAGATATACACATATAGGTATGTATGTTTGTTTATAAAAATTATGAATTTTAAATTAAAATTTAGTCTAAATATTATTGTAGATGCCAATTAATTGATGTATGAGAAATATATAGAGATAAAACATTGTATTGACTTTAATAATTAATGATTTCTTTATACCAGTATTAATTGATAGTTATATGTAATAAAATCATTTAACTTTCACAAATTGACCATTTTTTAAATAAAATTGAGGAGCATTCATGTATACGGGAATGGAAAATCTTGGGTGGTAAATATATTATGGTGAGGAGATAGTTGAAATTTTTGTCACATCTAGGCTATTATACATTTTTTATGGTTAATTCTCAGCATTGAGTTCTAAGCCATATTATGATTAATAAAAAACAAATGAATGCTTTCTTTACAATAACTTTGCAATCAGTAGGGATTGTTTATATTAACTTAATGTATTTTTATGAAGATAAATAGAGGGAGGAAACTTTCAATAATTTGATCACAATAAGTGGCTGTCATTTTCGTATCTATATAATTTCTAATCGAATATAATTGGAAAATGATACGAGTTATATGACCTCAAATAACAGAAATTTGGATTGATAAACAATTGTAACAAGTTGTTTTTAACTTAAAATGCAATTTTATGTAAATTTAATAATATTGTAGACCAGATAAGAATATTACGAAACTGTAATGTGACACCTGGACAACTTTTAAAAACTTAGGTTAGATTTATTATTAACTAAATATATTGTACCTTTAACACCAAATAAACGTAGTTTTTGATATTATTAAGTTAATATATATTTTAGAGCATCAATGGATTAAGCTAAACAAGTTACAAATAACTCACAGTGGTTCCAATATGGACGTCAGCCAAGATTTGAAAGCGTCTGGGTTCTCAATAATCATGTCGTAATTTATATATAATACGACTTCAATAACGAATATTCATGTATAAACACCTAACGATAACTTAAAACAAATTAATTGTACTACTGAAAATTAAATAACACAAGATTTTTTATCACTTTTGCGAACACTTCTCTTTTCAAACTTTTATTTTTTCCGTCCTCAAAATCGAGTCACTTCAAGAAATGTCATTCTAATTCTAGCGGAGCAAGTTTGTCAAATGGTGTTTCCATGTTCACTCTCATATTTTGACAATGGCAACACTTTCGTATTTCCTTTAAATATTTTTATAGTTTATCATATATAGATAAAATAAAATTTATTTTAAATAACATAAAAATAATTTCAGTAGAGGAAGTTGCAAAAGAAGAAAAGTACAAATAAAATATAATTTATTGTTATTACATAACAGTTTTTTGACATTCAACTTCACCGTTTCGCACGGAACCGTTTTTACTATCATTGTAAAATATTAATGAAAAACAACAATATTGAACATTCACAGAAACGATTGCAGAATCTTCCAAAATCTTTATTTTCGAATTACATTATAAACAGTTACAGCAATAATTTCTAATATATCAATTTTAGTTATTAGAATTAATAGTCATATTTTCCTGACGAATTTTAGAAAGCAAGCAAAGAGGTTTGATAAAAAAATCTTTTAAACTAATATGATTCTTAGATAAAAATGATTACTTTTTGTTATTTAAACAATTTAAGTATTGTATTTTTATTACTCAATGTCTGTGATACGTAACAATTCAAAAATAACGAGGTAATAAAAGACGTTGTTAAAAGAATGTTTCATTGTTAGAGGATTTAGTTATCATGTTTTCGCGGGGTAATTAATATTATAAATGTTACATATTGCCATAAAGTTCCTTTTGAAATAAAAATCCTATATATTTATCATGCATACAGGAAGTATGATTAGTTTATACAAATGGGATGTTCTTATAGACATTCGTCTCTTTGTTAAATCTAAAAATAGGGAGCAATAATCGTTATATTCTTTTAAAATGTTTTCTGGATTTACAAGCTAGGAATTAATCTTAACTGACTCTTTAAATCTATATGACAATTAAATTGGTTTTATACAATTTTACTTCTCAAAAATAGACATTGTATCTGTTACTAACCAACATTATCTATAACTCACAAGTAAATAAACATTATATTGGATTAAATCACGTATATTTTACATGATATAACAAGATACGACCACAACAGTTTTGCTCTATATAGAATTGTGGCTGAATAAAAAACAAAATATTTTGACCGAAACAGCTGACAGGATCCTGCGGTTGATGTAGCAAAAACTGTCAAAAATTACTGATATTTATGACAGTTAAAGACATTAGAGAATTATAAATTACTAGTTTTTGCCCGCGACTTCGTCCGCGTTAGTTTCTTCATTAGTAATATATGTATAGCTGACCGGGCGAACTCTATTCCGTTTTAGAAGCCATTAATAATCAGGTTTCTCCTGTTTAAATCGAACAGAATGATTGACATATTAGTTAGTTGTCAAATCTAATGTCAAAAAAACGTTAGTATGGGAAATAGACAAGGGCTGTTTTTATGGTTTTCCCAGTAATGAATCAATTTTTTTCAGCTTTTATACCTTCCCTGAACCTCCACGAACATTTCAAGACTAAGATAAGATAAATCCGTTCAGCTGTTCTCGAGTTTTAGCGAGACTAAGGAACAGCAATCCATTTTTATATATATGTAGAAGATAATTCTATAGAGAAGATATGTTATAGTAAAGTAAAGTAAGCCTTAATAGCTGTCTTGGTTGATCGTGATGAAATGCAAGGCTAGCGAGCAAGATTGATGGTAAGGGTTGCCAATAGGTTGCCAATCGGCTGAATGACAACAACTATATCATTATAAACGTCAAAAACTTACAATGACAGATTCTTTTTTTAAATTCCAGTTATAATAGAATATAGATTTTTTAAAACATTTTAAGATTTTCCAGCCAAAAAGTTATTAATATATATTAAATTTTATATATAACGATAAATTTCAATTAAATGGCAATGCACAAGTATAAATATTATATATCTTAGTTTAATGTATAATTATTGAACTATGACCTTTCATGATCACTTTATCTTTTGCAAATATTTGCTTTAATTAGTTGGAAAATTACTTTGCTATGGTATAAAGTACAAACATTTTTAATTATCAACATCCAAAGCGTCCTTGTCTAAATGAAGGTTCATTTGCAAAAAAGGTGTTATATGTATTCATAACAATATATATTAAAGGTGGTAGAGCCTAGCTGTGGTCAAGTTACTACAGCTCGAACATGGTCTGTCTCGTGGAAGTACCACCCTCTCACTGAAGATCGGCGTGAAGTAGTCTTTAATGGATGCGTTTCTGATGAGTGAGAGAGACGGTTGATCTTTCTCTTTCCCACCCTTTCCTCTCTCCCACAATCAAGGTTTGCAACTCATCCATACATCTCTTATGTTGCAGATGTCTATGGGGTAATGTGACTACCTACAAGTAGACCGTCTGCTCGTATGCAGCCTTTGAAAGAAATTAAGAAAGGGATGGATTAAAAAGAATCAATGGTACTTCTGGAGTTCTCAACCATCTGGTAAAAGCTGCAAAAATAGCTTATCATCATCTTGAGAAACTATATCACACGATTAATAGGTTTATCTCTACTCTACTTTGAGAAATAGAAAATATTTTCATTCCACAAGTTTTGTGGGCTTACTTTTTGGATAATTTGACAGAAGAATCTTGTTATTAAGTGTGACAAATTTTTGTTTAGTGGAAAATGGTTTTTTTCCCAATTTTAATAGAAATGGTCCTCAGTTCCGCAAGATGATGATAAAGTTAAACTTGAAATGTTTTGCAAAATCATTGCAAATGAGATGACCAACGTGGCGTATTTACCTTGACCTGAACTACAATCCTAAATACATAAATATTTGTATAAAAACTAGCGATAAATAGAGAATATTATATACTTTCAAATATTAATGGTCCAAAAAACTACGATTTTTTTGTACAAATAAAGTTAATTTTCGTCCCATTAAAGCAATTTTTATCCTTTAATAATTATATTAGTGTTTTAGTTTTGAAAGAATAATTTAGTAAGCTCTGTGATTTGGGCATCGTCGCAGCGAAATGAAGAAAATATTTATTAAATTTTTTATTAATAACCCAACGATATAATTTTGTTACAAATTTTCTTAGTGTCCTAAGAAAGGAATGTGACATTTTTTTCTGATTCGCTACCAATACATAGTTTTTATTTAGTGAAAACAATCTTCCAAAAAGGTTTTATCAGGATAAATGAATAATGAAAGGAAAGAAACGAATAAAATGTATTTTAAAGGCCTTACACCCTCGTCATGCCCTTACTATACCCTTCTTTTACCTGGCAATTTCCCAGCTATAGCCAGGGTCTACCTTACATGTTGTGAATAGTTTTGGCTATTTGTTTTTACGACCGGCCGCCTGCCTGACATCAACCTCTTTGGGAATGCATTAATCAGTGATGTCTAAATACTCTTAGAAAGTTCATATGACTCGGAAAAATCACATTGGTACTTGCCAGGTTTGAACCCGCGCCCGCGGCAACGAGAGGCGGGCCCTTTAACCACTAGGCCACCACTGACTCTTACCACCCTTACTTATACCCTTATTATATAAAATACACTGGTTGTCTTATTAAAACAATGTTAATTGTAGCGTGTAACAGATAGTACGAGACTAATCGACATAATCTTTATAACCACAACCAAAAACCTGATAAAGAACTGCCATCAAAATTGCAAGTCTCTGGCCCAAAACACCAAGAAACAAGTGATTAGCGTCAAAATTGTGTATCATATCATACATCTCTGGCTCAATATACTGTGTTAATCGAAAATACAATGAAAACTATTCAATGTAATCAAAAATAAATCTAGTACTCTCAATCAATGGTCATGAATGTTATTTTAGTACGTATTGTTATATATTTTTCAGATTTTTACATAAAAACACCAAGACACAGGTGGTTAGCGTCAAAATTGTGCATTTTACCATACATCTCTGGCTCAATATCTGTGTTATTTAATAAGGCAATGAAAATTATTCAATGAATTCAAAAATAACCGCAAATTAAATCTATCAATATATTTGTGCTATACAGGGTGACTGGTGAATTACTATCAATATTTAAGGAGAATACTCGGTACATGATTCTCATTCGAATTATGTAAAAAAAATAGGTACTTAATTTTTTACCAAATTTCCGTATAAATAAATTAAGTGTGGACACGTTCCAAGTGTTCCAAGTGTGGACGCGTGCGGCGGCGTGGTGTTGTATCAGCACGCCGCCGCACGTGTATGTGTGAGTGTGTGTGTATACCTAATCTGTAGGGTGTTCACACGATGCGTAATTAATTACATAACTTTTGGTTAACTTTACTTAGAAGTTTATTAATATTTATGTTATATTAATTTTTATTTTGTCATATATGATCGTCAAATATCACGTCCTCAAGTATCGATAGTAATTCACCAGTCACACTGTATATTTTTCAGTCTTAAATAAAAAACACAATAGTAATGTCAAGAAACGAGGAATGATAACGTAAGATGAAATGCTATTTAATCTTGATAACAGATATCAATGGAAATTGTATTCTATTATTACTTAATTATGGTCTAATTTACCTTATATAGCTTTAGTCATAAAAACTTTTCATTCTAATTCCTACGTACATTGTTAGAAATACAATAGCATGTTTGTATATTGCAAAAAAAAATCTTTTATTATATATTTCATTCATGTATTTCTATTTAAAAAGATAATAATTTAAAATACTAAAGAAAAAAAAGAAAGAGTTTGTATATACTCATGCAAGAACATTTAAAAAATTGCAATATACGAAAGTATAAACATGATAAAAAATGTGTTTTATAATAATAACTGAATTGCAATATATGTTACTTTATTTATATAGTAGTTTGCTATTAAATAA